ATTTAAATTACTTTATTAAATTTTAATAATTAACAGAGTTTTTCGTTACTAATTTATGTGTATGATCCGGATGGCTTATAGACCGTCCTCAATATGGTGAAATACGACCATGAAGTGCTGATGATCTGAAAAGAAAATTTTGGCTTTCAATAACATAGTTCACAAACGTAATAATATATTTAGCGATTAGAGTCGCTTCTCAAACTAAATTTTGAATAAACAACTTGAAAAAATGAAATCTATTTCAAAAATATAGTTTACAAAATACGGATGTAGGTAAGTGTCAATAAGATGATAATAAAACTCACTTTACTGAAGCTTCTGTAAGATATAACTGAAAACTTAAACGCCGTTAACTGTTGTTCTTTGTGTGACCTGAAATAAAACAAAAATGTTTACTACGTAATGCATATTAAAAAAATATATCCAAGCTTTTTCATTAAGACAATTTGAGCTCATCCATTTGCGAAATATTAATCCACTTTAGTGCGAATTTTTGTTCGAGTACTAACTGCTCAATTCTGCGTCATTTAAATAACTTATTGTTCAATGTAATTCAACTGGTTTGTAATAAACATTACTCACCTGATCATAAGAATCAAAATAGTTTTCTTCGCCTTCCGATCCATCCCATGCCAGTCGCAGAGATACGCCGCCTCTCCCACTATCCGGCTCTGGAGGTGAATACAGCAATTATCAGCACTTTTTACCCTTCTGGCGAGTAAACCAATTACCCCAGATAGTTTTGTTTTACCTCTCTTATGATATTCTCCCCGAAAACGCTCATCATTAATATTTGGAGCAATACGGAGAGCAGAAATAACACGTAGCCCAGGAAATGAGACCAATTGCCCAACTGGAATTAAGTCGTGTGTATTATTTTGGTTAATGAAAGTGATTTTGCCTAGATTTGAAATTGAATTAGCTGCTCACAATGATACTATGGCTCATATTTAGAAAATATCTCTTAAAAGTTGATATAAACTTATGCAGGATGATAGGTTGAATATAAATGTTTACACTAATCACCATCACTTTTTGATTGAGGCATAAAAGGCTTTGAAAAAAATACAATTAGGCAAAAGTAAACTGTTTACAACAGGAAATTATTTAATAAAATTGATCAATTAGTGCTTACAGTCAAACTGAATCCTAGAGTACATATCTCGAGGGATCCCACCAAATAATTAAACAAGTTCGGCAATTTGAAAATATCATCCAAATCTTTTGATAACCTGAAAACATCATTCCATTTATTAATTTTCTGTTAAAGCATGAACTTGAATTTGAAAAAATATCAAAACAAACTAGAATTAAAGAGCCAAAAATACTTGCTTCAATAGATACTGATGCTGCTGTATAATCTTTTCCAGTGATTGCACATTTTTGCTATTCATCCTTGAGACTTCGTCGCTCAAGATCGCAAAGTTGTTGCAAATTTGAGATGTGGCGACACAATACAACGCGTCTGAAGTTGTGAAATCTAATATGCATATCCAACCTACAAAAAACATTAATTAAAAATCAGTAGGTAAGCCAGAGTCATAATTCAATAATATCCACGGTAATAACATCAAAGACTTGCAATTCAGAAATAATAGCCTTCATTTCCGACCGCCGCGGTGCTGAAAAGTTTCAATTTGAAATATAACTTACCGCACGAAATTGAATACACATATACAATAAGCCACGTCTGCCACATATCTGTTGAAAATGGGACCAGTACCGCATATGGCAGTCTGAAAACCAGCTCGCTTTTTGCCACGTAATGGTAAATCATAAAAATTGGAGCGGAAAAATTATACACCGATATCAGCACACCGTTTAAAATGAAATAGTAGCGCAGCAATTTGTTGATATTCAATACCTCTTTTTCAATTAGTTTCTTTTGTCTTACATTTTCAAGTGCTTTTGCGTATAGTTTTTCGAGGCAGTCGACAAGCTCGAAAATCATTTCTTTTTTTGCGACTAAAAATACAATTTTGAGGATGGATAAAACGCCTATGAAAAGGCACGGAGCTAAATCTGATAGCTCAATTATATTGTTTGAAGATATCTTTGACACGAAATAGCTAATTTCAGCCAGCAACATTATGGCCAAAAGAACAGAGAAAAGGTAAAACCTGAAATATACTTTTCGATCGTTTAACTTAATCCCCAGAACCCAAAAATTCCATTTTATTTGTTTGAATATCTCCTCGAATGTTGGCAACTCCATTTCGACGAATTGTTTTATGTTTGAAGTTCTCAGTTAGAATACTCAAGTGAAACTATTATTTCTAGTTTTATTTATCACTATTTATTTATGCAGTTCAAACTTACTAGGGTTGTAAAAACGAAACGAAACTATTAAAAGCGAAGGAACTACTAAGTAACTACCTATGGGTTTAACCAATCGCTCAACAATTTTATCATCACAAAAAAGGTTTATTGAGAGATAATTTTCAGAGTCAAAATCTGTGGCAACATAATAATATGCCACATAATTATTATTACTCTCATCTGTAACACAAATTAACTAATTGTTGGTAAAAGGAATTGTTCATCAATTCCTTTTACTAACAATTAATTTGTGTCTCAGATCAGATTTTGTAGGCTTCAATGATCGGAATTACGTATACTGAGAAGCACTTAAAATAATAATAAATTAAAAATTAATTAGGAGCATTCAGCACACCTACCTAATAACATAATATCATAATTATCACTATAATGAGAATGAACTGATAATGAAATATTTACGAAACACAATTATTTTTCGAAATTGTATTACGAAAAACCAAACTTGACAGCCCTAGCAACAATTTGTAGAATAAAACTAAACCCGGTTATTAAACTCCTGTTAGCCAGACAGTTAATCTACCAAATATAAGTAACAATTATAAACTAAAACCATTTACTGAATACCTATTATTTACTTTGTTGGTACGATATTATAAATATTGTATGTTATAAGGATGTCTATGGCTATGCACGAGCATAGCCTAGTCATTACATAGGCGTGACACGACTTTCAAAATAATGTAACTTACCTATTTTAATATTTCTAACAGACACATATTTTATTACTTTGCAAAGATTTCTGTAGAACATTTAACACGTAATTATGCCACACAACTTTGTATGTTTTATATTTAGGTACTGTTGAATCCACTAAGAAGGTTATGGATAGATCTAAAACTACGAGTACAATACTCGTAGTTTCTCGCAACACTTTACGTGTCTAAACCTGGAATAAAACGAAAATTATTACAGACGTGTGACAATGTTGTGTAGAATTCGCTTAAGTTGTCAGCAAGACACACAGCACATGAGACTATACATGTTCGTTGCAAAATCGCACTTATTGCAACTAACATAAGAAGCCACAGTGAAGCTTGATGTGCTGTCGACCGTACAATGAAATAAAAGCGAGTTTTCGCCGGTAAGAGTATCCGGTTTGTTAGGTCCGCTCGTGGATTCTGTGTCACCTGTATCGTATCGAATATTTTTGTAATACGTACATTTTGCGAGACTATTTTCGTCTAGAAAATTATAGTGTAAAACTACTTATGCCATGATATCACGTGGAGTGAATGCCAATAAGCGCGTCTTTTGTATCGCCAATTATAATTTCCTTCTGAAATAGTAGTAATTATCGTTTATCTATGGTAGATACCACACACAGAACATAGAAATAGGTAGATGCTTTTTTCTTTCTTTCTCTTTATTTTATTGCAAACGATCATAAAGAGAAGTGTGTCGTTCTTGAAGCCAATGGAATTCGTAGCACATGAAATTTTTCACTAGATTTTCTATGAATTTTCTAACTTTTTAGTTTGGATATCATGCTCTAACTCTAAAATATAATGTGCTAGTCTAGAACATTATTTTCTAAGGATCCCAAATCAATACGGATACTCATTCTATATAAAACGTTCAATGTTCCTTACGAGCTCCCGAAACTTTGGGTGATTTAAATAAAATATTGGACCAAGTTCAACTCGTACACCATCCGTCGGCGAGATTTGATTTTGAAAAGAAATTTATCTTCCGAAATCCAACATATTGAGCAAGGGAATAAAAGAAATGAACTTTCCGGTATAATTTTTAAAGTATTTTTATTGAAAAATTGCAATATTAAATCGACTCCAGAGACTTTTAAGAGACCATTTCGATTGTATATTATGAAATGAATTTATTATGTCAACTCATGTGCTTTGTTGGCCTGTAACTTATGGACAAAATACGATTTAGGTACTTAAATTATTAATTCCTAATCCGATTAGAATTAAAATTAATATTTGTATGTCATTATTTAGGTATAAACACAGGTTAATGCGAATGTTTTGGTTTGACTTTGTATACTGTACGTATCAAAGAAAAACGTCAATCGGATTACATGATGATTAACGTTATCTATTGAAATATAAAAACAATGCCCACTTTTATTAACATCTATAATATTTAGGTATTTTAAAATTGCTATAGGTACTCAAGATGAGATACTAGATTGAGTTTGATTTTGGTAAGTATGTAATGACAACCTTTTCTGTAGTGTGGCCTTGGGGGAGTTCTTTGTCCAGCAGTGGACGTCTTTCGGCTGAAACGAACGAACGAAAAAACCAACCACAAGCTTGCAACATTTGACAACATTGAACTGTGTCAATAGCTTTAGTTTTAATGTCGAATAACCTCGTCCCGATTTACTACTTGAATTTAAGTTGAAATATACTGATATGGCAATTTCCATAATTTTTAGTACTATACTCATACATAATTTTAATAACTTTTCGTTTAGTTTCCTTTCAAGTTGAGCATGTCGTAATTTGCATTTATTGAGATAGCGTAGCATAAATAAAGCCATAAAGTTTAACGAGTGATTACGCTAAAGAGCACAATGCTCATAGTTCTGGTGGTTTTGGTTGTATCCACAGGTAAAAATATTTAGTAAAAATAGTTTGAGTAATTTATTGCTTCTACTATGTGGCTTGTAGCAACTGAGGTAGTGAAAAGAGATGACATTTTCATCGTATCGCTGGTTTTACCTGCCTTCAGAATCATGAAATCACTTTGGCTAGTTTAAGATTTTATTTTATTTTGTGTAACCCTTCCGGAAATCTAGGACCTTTGTATCAAGAAAGTTCAAAACCAGTAAACCACAGAGGCTTGTATGTATATTATGTAATGTACCTAAACATTTTGTTTGTTTCATATTTTCATACAGCGCACATCAATTTGGCGTTCTTTCTCGAAGAGGAGGACACAGAAAACGAAAAGACCTACCCGAGGTTCATTTACTTTCCTGATGGTGATGGCAACTTAGTCAAAGTTGATTTGGAAGCTAAGCCTGAACATGAACTCCTGCGGGAATGCGAAAAAGATCCCCATGTTGGGAACCTGTACCTGCTTTATACTTGGTAAACACCTCATCATCGTCATTTCAGCCATTGGACGTCCACTGTTGGACAAAGGGCTCTTCCAAGGATTTCCATAACGACTGGTCTTGCGCTTCCCGCAATTACATAATCATTAGTAACTATAACGAGTATTTCTTTTTGCGATTTATTGACCAAAACATAATAATAATATGATGCAAATTGTTCCAGTTGTTGTTTTGTGAATTTTGCAATTTTGTTACATTTGTTCTTTTGCTATATTTTGTTACCAAGAGTTTGAAGGGGAGTAAAATAGAAAATGGAAATTGTAGAACCCCATTTCATAAGTTAGGGGTACGTAAAATCATATTAATGCTTTTGATAAGGTATAAAGAGGATAGTTAAAATTTTATGACTGCGAGAATTCTGTGATAGACATTTAATGAACTGGTTCATGCTTGAAACTTTTGCCAAGTCTACCTTTCTTGGGATTAATTTCTACTTATCTTAATTAAGAAAACTGTGATACTACTAATAATGAAAATTATAATAATAGTAACAACTCTTGTATAATTTTTACAGTAATAACAATAAAACAGCCCAGATATTAGTCATGAATAATGCATCTTCGATCAAAAAATCGAACTACAACCCATCTGTTCCTTCCGTGGTGATCGTTCATGGATACATTACCAACAGGAATTCTATGATCAACATGGTACTCAGAGACGGTTAGTAATAAATGTATTAAAATTGATAATATTCTAAAAAAGATCAAGTTTGGTGTTAGTCATTTTTTATTGTTAAGGGCTTGTTTTTCAACCGTCAGATATATTTTAACTGAAGAATAAACTTGTCATTTTCACATATTTCCCATACTGAAACAATCAAATTGCCGTCTTATTAATCCACATTAGAAAAATATTTTTCAGCGTTTCTGGGACGGAGCGATGTCAACGTTATCGTCTTGGACTGGAGTCGCTATGCATATTCTTTATACACCACCGCAGTCCGAGTCATCCCATTCCTTGGTCGTGGCTTGGCATATTTCCTCAGATTCCTCATCAGCACCACTGGTGGAAGCTTGAACAACGTCCATCTGGTTGGATTCAGTCTTGGTGCTCACTTGGTAGGTAATGCTGGCAGGGAGCTGTATGGAGAAATAGCCCGTATCACAGGTAATAATAGGGTAATTGACATACTTTTTTGGGCCGTCAAAACGAGACTCTCCCGGTGTTTTATGGCAGAGGATTATGACGTCAAAAGTTTGCTATGCTAACTTACTATTTATAGATTGCAAAGCTGCTAAAAATAAATTAACAACAACAACTCACCTTTCAAGGATAGACCTAGGTAGAGATTGAAGTTTCTTAAAGAAGTTGTTTCTTGGTTAAGAGCGTTTACGCCGTTTGGCGCAAAAACAGTACTTTTTCAACTCGTTACAATCATTAACCAGTAATACTACAAATATGTTATAGGCATAAATAGTTAGGCAATTTCGTCGTCTAAATAGTTAATTGAGAAAATATTGCGATTAGTTTAGCATTTAAGAATTCTATCAAGATAAGTCCACACAGGTTTTGTAAATTTCCACTTTAGCGTCAGTTTACAAGCTGAAATTTTCATAAAAATACTGTGAAAACGATTTAACAAACATTTATATCCTATAGCATAGATCCTTAGGCAAATAGTTATCTGAGAAATTTTTTAGATTTAAGCATTTTACAATAAGAAATCACAAATTAAAAGAACGTGAAATACCCAAAAATCAAAGTGATTTTTTCACCAATATTCTTCCTTTATTCAACACAAAAATAGCTTAATATAATAGAAGAATATCTTATCTAAAATATTTACTTTGAAATTTAAAATAATTCATTGTATTTTTTTTTCTATGAGTATTTGAAAAGTACTTGTATAAAATATTCTCAAAATAGTAAAAAACCTTTGATAATTTACTATTTGATAAAGAATTTACGTATTTATTATTGATTAGGACTAATGTATACCATTATTTATAATTATGGAGTCGGTGTTGGAAGATTTGAAGATTTTATAGTTTCCTTGAGCTGTCACTTGACAGCCTGGCACACTTTTACGATGGTGGATCAAAGTATTTTGGTTTGACTATAGAGCGTGAGAACACGCACACAGTCATAATTATTTTAGTGTGAATAAAACTAGCATCGAAATTACCTAAACTTGACATGCCACGCTAGACGTAAACGCTCTTAATGGTGCCAACTTTGTTTATATCCAAAGATCTCAACATTTTCCTTTCAAGCCCAATGCAGGCTTAATAAATGTTAATAATGTTACAGCGCTTGACCCAGCTGGACCTCTATGGACCAAAAACGCGCAAAGGATTAACCGTTACGATGCTGTATATGTCGAAGCTATCCACACTTGCGGTGGCAGCACTGGCCTAGGCCTAGGCTTGCCTATCGCTCAGGCTGACTTCTTCCCCAATGGTGGCGTCTCACAGCCTGGTTGCCATGACCCTGTCTGTGACCATACCCGAGCCTGGCAGCTGTTTGCCGCAACTGTCACTTACGACCATTTGACTGCCAACCGATGCAAATGTCGTAGTCAAATACATATTAACAAGTGCTGTGGTACTACAATGAAAATGGGAAATGATGATCTTAACAAGCACGGGTGCGACTCAATAATAATCAAAGTATATTAATTTCAATAGTGTTTATGGATATTCATCATTTGTTTTCATCATTTCAGAGTTGGTTACTACCGCGTAGACACAGCAATGAGTTATCCATACAATGAAACGTACTAACTTACTTCACATTAATCTTCCAAAAAAAACTAAATTATCTAGAATACCTATGCAAATAAATTAAAATCATTAACAACACTCGAGTCATTGATTTCATTTTAATTATATCGATCAATTAACATTTTCCGCACGATTTATTTATAATCCAACAGATTTTTACCACAATCTTAATTATGATGATAGCGGCCATCCACCTGCACTGCAGCTGAATCCTATCTATGAAATAGACAGAAGAAATCAACTTACTCGTAATTAAACCTAACTTTTTAAACTAATAGAGCCTTTTGCTTAATGAAGTAGTCACACATACATAACATATTTTAAATTTCTTGTTCATATGACAACAAAGGTATGCTTTTTTTGTTTTCTGATTTTTATTATCTAATTAAAAGCATAATCATTGTGATGATAGCGTTGATGGATGGCTCAAAGAAATTAATATAAATAGGAAGTTCGAATTCGGATTGAGTTAATCGTGTTAATCCGCGGACAGGCACGATGCATTCATTGCTGATCCTTTTGGTCGCTTCAACAGGTAAGTTATATAAAAACTTTAGTTTTGATAAATTAAGCAATTTATATGAGCAAATTTGGGTATAATATACTGTTTTCCTTTTCTTTTTGTTGCCAAAATAAGTAACGTGATTTTAAGGCTGGGTTGCACCATCTTATTTTAACTTTAACAAACGTCAAAAATCTGTCAAACTCCATACAAAATACACCGGTTATCGTTATAGTTACGGTCAAAGTTAGGTGGCGCAACCCAGCCTTTGTCCTTTCTAATTAATTAGTATACTACTGTCAATTTTTCATTAATTATTGTGGTAGACGTTTACGATTGGAATAAAATAATAGAATTTGTCACCACAAATCTTAAAGCATGAATTAGGCATTCCGCCGCTTGGGTCTCATCTTTACATTCAAGTTAAAGTTATCATCAACGAATTTTGTGATTAGATTTGTAACCATAACTTTATTGTGCTCTCCATACTAACCTATTACATCAACAGCATATATCGCTTCGGCGTTACCGCTGGAGAATGACGTCACCGGTGTCGAGAAGACCTACCCTCGATTCATCGAGTTCCCAGATGGCGATGGCAACTTGCACACCGTAGATCTGGAAGCAGAACCCGACTGGGAGCTTCTGGCTGAAATCGAAAGGAATCCTGCAAACAACCAATACTTTTTATACACCAGGTAATATAACTATCAATACCTTTCAACTGTTCTAAAATACAATAAATATTGAAGTGAAAATAACCGAACGGTGAAGATTTCGGACTAGTCGACTCGAGATCCAAGGAACGCTGGTTCGAACCCTGCCACCGCTGGACTATGGTGGTGAACCCACTTCTAAGCGTATTTAGATTAGTACGAGGAGTTTTCGGGGCTACATTAAATAAATAAAAAAATGAATTTCGAAAATCTGTAAGTAATTCTGCAACTCCTCATTTTTATTTGTGTTTACAGGCGCAATAGTAATTCAGCTCAGGCCTTGATCATGAACGATGCCAACTCCATCCGCAACTCCAACTACAACCCCAATGTCCCCACGGTCGTGATCTCCCACGGCTGGCTCAGCAAACAAAGCACCAGCATCAATCCTGCTATCAGAGATGGTACGTGTAACACCTACTCTCCAAGACAATTGATACTTAGCTAATTCTCTTTTCTTCCATCCTAGTTTGGTTTAAGTAATCCAGGAATTAAGGCTTATAACAAAAGTTCTTATCATGAGATCGGTCAAGATATTTTAATAGTATTTTTAATTCTATTCTCGAAATTTTACTAATTTTGGCTCGGCATTTCTGTCTTTAAAATGCCAAAAAAAAAAATTGGATTAATGGACATTGAAACTCGACCAGATCAATAGCATCAAACTAGTCCACCAGATTCTTTTTTATAATAATAAATTCATGGCCTATATTGAAAACTTCTTTCACATCATTAATGATTCTTACCAGTGAGAGTTTTTATATAAGTGTCTGTTAATCTGCTATTCTTAATACAAGTTTTTAAAATGTACTGTATTCTAATATGGGTTTGGATTTAATTACAGATTTTTATAGTAATACTGTATTTGTATTTTTCATAGTTTACCTGAGAAGAAATGATGTCAATGTGATCGTTTTGGACTGGAGACGCCTCGCCATTTCCGACTACATCACCGCCGTGCGTGGTGTGCCTGGTGTTGGTCGAGGCCTGGGACAGTACATCAATTTCCTGCTCAGCACCGTTGGTGGCAACTTGAACAACTTCCACCTCATCGGGTTCAGTCTTGGCGCTCATGTGGTCGGTAATGCTGGCAGGGAGCTTGGAGGAAGGGTTGCCCGTGTTACTGGTTGGTACCTACCTATCTGGGGGCACGGCAGTGCCCCCACCAAGTCGAGCAAAAAAGCGGCACGGCCGTACCATCCTTTTCTCGAAGCAATTCAGGCCATTTTCGACCGCCTGTAACTTCGTTGTGGATAAAACTACAAGGCTGAATTTTCATTAGCTATGCAGGCATTGTAAAGACACGGTATATTTAAAATTTCATTCAATTTGAACCAGTAGTTTAAGAATTATAACGGGTCAAAGTTACTTAATTTTGTCACTCACTGACTCACTGACTCACTGATTGACTCACCGATCATCAAAATTCTAAGGCACTTCTGGCAGACCTAGAAGCTTCAAATTTGGAATATAAGTAGTGTTTGGTGTATGAATCAAGGAAAAACTTAAATATTTGGGAGCACGGTAGTGCAACCGCCAAGTCGAGTAATTTTTTTCAATTTCGGTCCAGTTTTCTATATACATAACTGCTGTCTACAAACTACAAAAAGAAATGAGATTTGGGGGCACGGTAGTGCAACCGCCAAGTCGAGTAAAATTTTTCAATTTCGGTCCAGTTTTCTATGTACATAACTGCTGTCTACAAAATACAAAAAGAAATGAGATCCCATCAAAAACAATACTTGTCAAAAAAACCAAGTCTCGCAACTCAGTTGTTCTACGGTAAAAAGTTGTGAGATCCATGTAATACCAAGTCCAGGCCAGGAAATCTTTAACGTTTTACATAAATATATTGACTTGGCCATCGCATGAAAACACGTGTAAATTAAATTATTTAGTGCGATGGCCACTTTGTCCACATGTTTAAGTAGGGTTATCTAAAGTAAAATCATTATCTAATTGAAAATGTAGTTGACATACCTACCTAATACTATTTTACACCAAGAACCACATGTTTTACCTATATAATACACACGTAGAGGAATGGAAATCCTTGCCAAGATCCTGACTTCATATAAATCCAACTCCTTCAATTCACGAGTGAATAGGAGTCATATTCTGGATCATACGAGTAGATGCACGTTTAAAACAATCTGATCACTGATTTTTTACAGGTCTTGACCCTGCTGGTCCTATGTGGCACTACAACTCGAACAGAATCAACCGCAACGACGGCATCTACGTCGAAGCCATCCACACTGACGGTGGCATCTACGGTTTGGGCATCGGGTCTGCTGTGGCTGACGCTGACTTCTTCCCCAACGGTGGTTTCAACCAGCCTGGCTGCATTACCGACATTTGCGACCACAACCGTGCCTGGGAACTGTTCGCGGCTACGGTCACCCACAACCACTTGCAGGGAAACCAGTGTGACAGCATGACTCAAGTCACTCTGAATCGTTGCCGCGGTGCTACTCTTCACATGGGAAATGATAACTTGAGGAAAACTGGGTAAGCATATTTTTTACATGTAGGAAGAAAACCACCGATTTATGGTTAAAGGAGAATAATGTGTATATTTTTTTGAGGGCACTACATATTTTTGGTACAATTGGTAGTTCGAAAACAAGTATAAGCAGTTTACTATGAAGTTGATAAATTAATGCGTGGTAATTATTAGTGTTCATTTCGTTTCAATCTCTATATTTTTTATCATGCAATTGTTTGATTTTCTAATAAATTGACTCTAGGAATTTTCCTGAGTCGTATTTGATTGTAAATAATGTACTGTCCAAAAGATAGCATAATACTTTTACGCAATCTTTCAAATACCGTTGAACAATCTTTATTAAGATAATCATACAATAAGTATTATTGAAATACGCAGCTTTATTAAGCCTACAATTGACTGGTTATTGAATCAACGTTTTCCAAGTGGCAATTTTTCATCGCCAATGGGTAGCGGTTCTGGCGACAGTTTGGTGCAATGGTGTCATGGATTACCTGGTTTTGTACCCTTCAACGGCCAAGGCACACAACATTAACTATAATAATAAAGAAATCGCAGTAAGGAACCATAGACTTGGCACGACTTTGTCTAGATTTCATTACTTTTTAGAGATAAACAAGCAGCTCCATCGAGACTTGGCTAGTTTTTTACAGAATGTTTTTGGTGGGATTTCACTTCTTTTTGTAGAAAGTGGCAAAATTATTTAACGTCGTCGTTTTATCGACATTTTTTACGATATTAAACACATAAACTCAACGACCTTTAAAATGGACAACGAATCAGAATTGTTTTAACCTTAGCGAACCTTACAATATAATAAACGAAATCAACGAAATGCAAATTACACAACATTCAACTTAATCGACGGGGGGCTCTAGAAAGGAAAAAAATCTGGACACCGCTTGCTAGTGCTAGCGCCATCTAGCGGTGAGCGATACAGGCGAATACCACGGTGCCGGAGTAGTATTTATTATGAATGTGGTGTTACTCCAGATCTTCGATTTTCCTAGTTTTTATAGTTTTCCCTTTATGTGGCCATTAAACCCTAACTCTGTACCAAATTTCAGCTCTCTGAGTTTATGGGAAGTACTAGTTCTATTTTGATGATTATCAGTGAGTGAGTGTCGTAAATGCGAAACTTTGCTTTCGCTTAACTTCGGAACTAAATGACCAATAGACTTGAAATTTTGGATTTTAAGTACGTGATTATAGCTTACTAGATGACGAAAATTTCTGCGTTCTGGTCTTATCCAGAGGTTCTCAAATAGGGGCCTGAAAATGCGGCGAAATGGTTCCAGTAAAGGATGGTACGGCAGTGTTTGCTTCGCGCTCGACTTGGCGGGGGCACTGCCGTGCCCCCAGATAGCATAATACTTTTACGCACATGTTAATCTATTTTAACTAGAAGATTTTTAATCATTATACTACTACTTATAGAGATCCTAATTACATCCACCTCTTTGTTTCAGAAACGGTATCTTCCGCGTCAACACTGCCAGACGGTATCCCTTCTAAACGAAACAACATGTGATTATTTTTTGAAGATCTCTAATTTTTTAATGAAACCTAAGTATTCAAATAAAACATCAGAAGATGATCTTGTGTGTATGATTTTCTAACCCCTTCCCTTTTGATTTTGACTCATCTTTGATACATATGGAGGATAACATTTTGCTATCTTCTTGTTATAAAATGGCATCGGTAATAACTAGTCAGAATACGCAGTCTCAGAGCTCATCTACTAATAGGTACGATCTATTTCTCAAACATTATGCTTTGCCATTATAAAGTTAATGTATTTTATTATCAAATACGAGTAGTTCTTGTAGTAAGTAATTGTTTTCTTTTTATCAATATTATTGAAATTGATATGTATTTATCACACAGATTTTGTGCTGTAATCTGCATCCTTATAATGATCCTATAAGCATTCCTACATCTTAGCACAGTATTTGGTAAGAGTAAATATTTAATTTACTGTTCTATTCTCTACTCATCATAGTTCAAATTGCCTAGTTCAAAAACAAAATGTCTTTAGAATTATATCCAATTCCATGTTATTATCGTATTAAATGTATAATTATCATAGTTAAGATAGTGTTGATAATGGCATGAAAAACATATAAATAACAAGTCTGTATTGAGATACATATGTAAATCATCAAAACCAGGCACGATGTTTTCACCACTGCTTCTTTTGGTTGCTTCAACAGGTACGAGTTAAAGATCTTTTTCTAGAAATTATCGTGTTCTGTTATTTGTGGGAGCCACTAGTGCTAGAGATCCATTTGACCCAAGGGTATTTTTGGATCTCTGGTGTCTTCCATTTCTTCGTCCCTCAGTGGTCCCTGAAGAATTCCTTTATCAATGATCCCTGAAATTTGTCAGTCACGATTATTTTTCTTGTAAGTACTTACTATGTTGCCGAGTTCTCTAAACATCTTTATACTTTTTGATAATAGCATATATTATTTACGATTATACCAACAGCTTATATCGCTTCGGCGTTACCGCTGGAGAATGACGTCATCGGTGTTGAGAAGACCTACCCGCGTTTCATCGAGTTCCCAGACGGCGAGGGCAAGATGCATACCGTAGACCTAGAAGCAGAACCCGACTGGAAAATTCTGGATGAAATCACAAGGAACCCTGCGAACAACCGCTACTTTTTATTCACGAGGTATTTGTTTCATTTATAAAAAATCTATTTATACTATTTTTTCATTTGAATGAAAAATTGATTTTAAAATTCTTTATTTATAGGCGCAACAGTAACACAGCTCAGAGTTTGGTCATGAACGACCCGGAGTCTATCCGCAACTCGTATTACAACCCCAGAGTGCCCACCGTCGTGATCTCTCACGGATGGCTCAGCAGCCATAACACCGACATCAACCCTGTGATCAGAGACGGTACGTAAGACCTAAGGTTACACACACACACAATTCAAAGCTAAATTCATTTTCGTGCCCAAATCTTAATTTTGAGGCACAAAGACCATTTTTTCATGTGCCAATAAATATGGCCATCACATTTCATTTTTTGGCAGTCCACCAGATGATTAGAGAGTGATTTCCATTATTTCAAACTCTGGAATCATAGAAAAGATTTAGACGTTCGCACGTAAAAGCCGATGAATTCGTCTGCAACTCGTCTGATGGATCCCTATGGGCTCTGGGTTTCTTGCCAACCGACTATACTTATGCCTACAATATCTGATGCCTGTATTTCTATTTTTACAGCTTACCTAGCAAAGAGTGACGTCAACATCATCGTCCTGGACTGGAGACGCCTCGCCATTGCCGACTACATCACCGCCGTTCGTGGTGTCCCCGCTGTCGGTAGGGGTCTTGGACAGTTCATCAGTTTCCTGATCAACACCGCTGGAGGCAACTTGAACTACTTCCACCTCGTTGGATTCAGTCTTGGCGCCCACCTTGTCGGCAACGCTGGAAGGGAATTAGGTGGACGCGTTGCGCGTATCACTGGTTAGTATTATTAATATTTTAGTCAAGACGTGTTGCTAAAAGTTTGGTGCTATCGATATCCTGCCACGTAAAGCCACCACTTTTTAGGAGCTGCAATAGAATTTTCCCTAGATTTTCAGGGCAAAGACATGGATAATTTCAATTATGAATGACTCACTCACTCCTTTGCCAACTCAAATACAGGTTATTTATTGATTGCAAAGCTATTAAAAACAATTCCGCTAGGTGCGAAAAGTGTCGGTGTAATAGGCATTAACAGGGGTCAAGAATAAGTAGTTACAGTATTAAGTGAAGCATGTTTATTTAGCCAGCACTCGTAGTACACAAACTCTGCGTATATTGGAGCTAGGTCATCAATGTGAGTGTGGATACTAATTTCTATCTTTAATTTTAATCAGGTCTCGACCCCGCCGGTCCCCTATGGAACTACAACAGCAAACGCATCAACGAGAACGACGGTATCTACGTTGAAGCCATCCACACTGACGGTGGCCTCAACGGTCTGGGAATCGGTTCTGCTGTAGCCAACGCTGATTTCTTCCCCAACGGTGGTACCAACCAGCCTGGTTGTCTCACTGGCATTTGTGACCATAACCGTGCCTGGGAGCTCTTCGCTGCCACAGTCACCCATAACCATCTGATCGGTATGCAATGCAGCAACAACCTTCAAATCACCCTCAACACTTGCCGTGGTGATACTCTTTACATGGGCAACGATAATTTGAAGAAGACTGGGTAAGATAAGTCATATGCATCTACTTATTTTTCAAATGTAATTAACGATTTAAAAATTGTCTAAATTAATTAAATTAATTGTAAATTAAGACCGCCTAGTTGTACCTTGTGTTCCTTTTCTTTCTTTTCTTATCTTTGGTGTGCAATAAAGTGTATTTATTATTTATTATTATGTTTGTACGCTTTGGAGCTCACGGGTCAAAAGTGGCCCGGTCCTTTATAAGGCTTGCGTGGGGATACAGATCCAACACGTAGAGGCCGTTTTACGCGCAAAATAATCGACAAAAGTGAAAGTGGTGCACATACTGGATCTAGTCTCTGACTATATCATGGGATGTAGCCAGAGACCAGCCCCAGCCTGTGCACAGGAGCTATTGCAGTTATTGGAGAATGGACTAGGGTTATGGATGAAGGATGGATGGACTGGTTACTGGGCTATGGATGGAGACTACGGGTCACCTGCCTGGTTCATAGTCTCGGACTTATTATTATTATTATTGTGATTTGCATTAGATTAGTTTTTGAAATGTCCTTCAAAATAGTTTGGGGTATTATTATGTTAAGAACTTCAGTATTTACTTATCAGTATTGACGGTATTCGCTTTCAGTAAGAAGCGTACACTTCCATAGTGTTTACCTCCTTCCACCGTTACTAATATAATATTATGTGCTTTAATGTATTTATGTTTTGTTTCAGAAATGGTATGTTCCGCGTCAACACCCGCAGAAGGTATCCCTTCTAAATGAAACATGTGAATCTAAATGGATCTCTACTACCCTACGTCTACATTTATAACCAAATAAACCTCAATTTATATTTATTTGTATTATTTTTTGTTTACATCCTCTTCAAATCAACCGGTCTGAAGGAAATGAGGAACAATACTGAGTGATGTAATTATTGTTCAGTAACTCAACTCCAAATCTTTTGCTAAGCATACTGGCAATCTTAGTGAGCATAGGAAAATCTACAGTGTGTTTGGGATAGGGCTAGCGATAATTTAAGGCGATGTTGTGATGTCAATTTTATCGAAAAAAATGCCCCCATAATTTGGGCCCAACGCCCTTCTCTTGGAATTGGCTTTATTTTTAAAATTTATTTTTTATGTGACTCTGCATAAAAATTGTTTGTGTTATGGGCCCGTCTTACAGATAAATAAAAAATTGCATTTGTAAGCCAATAATTATTATTTGTCATTAAAAAGAACACAAAAATGAAAAAAAATGACCAATAAACTTAAAAAAAATTAAATGATTTTAGTTTTTGTCAAAAAATCAGGTTTTACGGGCACATAAGAAATAAATAATCATGGATGGACTTAAACTAAACTTTAGAAATATTATCTTGTAACTATCTCTTCATTTATTTGTTACTTTTGGGCACTCGTTGTCTTTTTTCTTAGTTACTATAAAAATTTTGTTTAGAAGTGATATTTGTAATGACTGTATTTGTGCCAAATAAATAGAAAAAAAATTGGCCCTCCTCTTGGAATGGGGGAGCTTAATTTTTTAGAGGTATTGGTTAGGGTAGGCACACATATGGAGGCATTTTTGTCGATAAAATTGACATAATAACATCGCCTTAAATTATCGCCTGCCCTATCCCAAACACACTGTATATGTATAAAACCATACTGTCTAAGTTAGAGTACATGGTCAAATAGGTCAATCAATCAAGATAATCAAATAACATGTTTTACGTGTAAAACTAGAATACTGTGACTCTTAAGTAGTCAGTGTCTCCCTACAGCTTGCCTGCCTATAAATCACAACCAGTGAAGCCAGGAAATTAATTAATCATATGAAAGTATAAGACAAATTAGAAGTTTCATGCATAGAGATCATAGAGATAGCTTTTTCACAACTAACATGTTAGTGCCGTGCAGCCGATCCGGAAGATATCAAATATTAATAAGGCAGAATCGCAACACCTTAACTTTAGCCGTAACTATAACTTATCCCGATTTTTCGTATGGAGTTTGACAGATTTTTGAAGTAAAGCAAGATGGTGCAACCCAGCAAGGTCAAGATTTTGCTATGCTTTTGCTTTGCTATTAATCTAGGCGTTTTGATCATCAGGAAGCAATATCTTCCAGACAACCTGATTAGCACGCAGTCGTTAGAAAACTAAAAGGCATATTCATCTAAGTACATTAAAAATGGCGTTTCTCTTCTTTGTGTGCTTTTGTAAGCTTTTATGCACAATAAAATAAACAAATATCAGTAGGTAATGTAAAAGCCAGTATGTCCTGTTACATCTGGTTTCTCCAGTTCACCTTAAGAAGAACCAGTTTTGTCTAAGGCTGGGTCGCACCATCTTACTTTATCTAACGTCAAAAATCTATCAAACTCCATACAAAAAAAACACCGGTTATCGCTATAGTTACCGTTAAGCCAAAGTTATGTGGTGCAACTCTACCTAAGCCTAATCGATGTATCCTATCACATTGGGACCACCTGGGTTAGATCATTAATCACTAAATACGTATAACAATATTTTTGATAAATATAATTTGTTGATACGTCGACCAATGATGATAAGAGATATAAGGCAAGTTCCTATGGATACAAACTAGCTTACTCAGTTGACTATCTCAAAATAATAATTATTCCGGCTTGCAACTAAAGATAAGCTTATGCACTTATGCAACGTCACCGATAAATACATTAATATTATTACTCATGTCATAGACTTACGCCCATATTCACAAACGATGCTTGCTTAAGTGAAGCAGCAAATCGAACGCACAGCGTTGAATACCTAGAGCTCTGTGATTGGTTCATGTGTCACCCTGTGCGTCCACGCGCACTGTAAGACCTAATAGTAATGTTTGTGAATACGGGCGTTAATTTTTGTAAGCTTTTGTTTCCATTAAGTATAGTTGATGAATTTAATGATAGGATAATATAGTCCGAGAGCGGATAGTAAGATACCCTACCCTACATCAGTTGGTACTAAGATAAGCTCCATTTCACACGTTGAAAAATTGTGATAAGCTTGGAACAATTAATTAATAAACTCCGATTTGGCCGAAAGTACAAAAACGAATCTTTCATTTCTGTCATTTTACCTCATTTTATTTAGTCTGATTCTTACTATCCTCCAAAATTTCCATTCACCTTTGATAAAGTTCAATACAAAATAGTTGAACTTTGTTTCGCTGTGTTTTGATTTGTTTTCAATATACTGAAAACAATCTTAGAGGATTAAAGTAATCAATCTTCAATTAGATTGATGAGATAAAACCAAAGTAAAGCATAAATACGAGGTTGGATCATCGGATTCTAATGAACGTGTAGAATCACTGAGGACAACACAATGCGTGCGGGACTTTTATTGCTGGTTGCTTCTACAGGTTTGTTAATTTTACTATAATTAAATTTTAAAAAAAAATTTTTTGCAAAAACGTATTTTAGAATAAAGAATACAACGTGGAATGTATAATACTCGTATTAACTAGGTCTGTAATTACTCACGGCAACTGGCCAAATTGTAATCTAATGATTTAACTAAAAATTATCCCAACCCGTCTGACCAACGTTAGGAGTGTAGACCAAATCCTCCATTTACCTCTAGTAAATTAGAGAGGAGATTATTAGTTAACAGCTATGGGAAGATGTCCTGCTCTTTTACTTTCCAAAGGGCTGCAATAATTTGAGAAGACCATCAATAGATTGACAAAATTTACGAATTGACTATTTGTTTTTTGCGCAGCATACATCGCTTTAGCGGTGCCATTGGAGGATGTGGTCGGCGTGGAGAAGACTTACCCGCGTTTCATCGAGGTCCCTGATGGCGAGGGCAACATGCAGCCCGTAGACTTGGAGGCGGAGCCTGACTTTGAATTCCTGTCTGAACTTGAGAGGAACCCCAATAACAACGAGTACTTTTTGTACACAAGGTGATTGTTTTTTTTTTTTGTTTAGACGAATGTCTTCCTCCTGAAGAAAGTTTCGGAGTAAAGACCTTTAATATAACTGTTTTATTATGATCTAAGACTGAGACTTCGATTTTGGGAACAAACTAAAATTGGTTTCACTGCTATACTGTGCATTTATTCATACCACAGATTTCGATCTGATGTAGACAACTAGACACTCTGCACAAGGGCATCTCGCTTTCAAAAACACTTCATTTCTTAATGTTATTTAGCTCTTATCCTCAATTTCATTACTTTTATCCTCACATTCATTGGTTTAGGTGTAAATACAATTGGTTTAGGTGTAAGTGCAAACAAACAGACAGAACTTACTTTTTGTATCTTTTTCAGACGTAACCAGAATATAGCCCAGACTTTGACTTTGAACAATGCCAACTCCATCCGCAACTCGAACTACAACGCTAACGTGCCCACCGTCGTGATCGTCCACGGCTGGCTCAGTAACCGCCTTACTGAACCTAACCCGACAGTCAGGAGAGGTTTGTAGCCATTACTTCATTAATCTACGAGTGTTGAACGAATCTCTGAAAGTCTTAAGACTACGATAAAGGTTATGTAGAACAGAGCAAAGCAAAAAAGTAGCATCAAGCATCGACAAAATAAGAAGATACATTTACTCCTGCGCATCTAACTAATCTTGACTTCAATTGATACTCTCTTATGCACGACATCCGCATTTTTTTCGGTCACTTCTGTTTTCACGTCACTGCTGACGTTGCAGGTTACATTTAAATTACGTTAAAAAAATTAAAGATCTCTCCTCCTTGTTTTGCCGATGCCGATGATAAGAAATCCACTACCAACTAAGGTTACTTGCTAAGGCTGAGTTACACCACCTAACAGTAACTATAACAATAAAACCGATGATTTTGTTTGAAATTTGACAGATTTTTGACGTTTGTTAAGGTTAAAGTAGGAGAGGTGCAACTCAGCCTAAGATGAGTTTCGTTTAATTTCAGCTTACCTCGCGAAGAGTGACGTGAACGTAATCTCTGTGGACTGGAGACGTTTGGCTGCGTCCGACTACACTACCGCAGCTCGTGGTGTGCCTGCCATGGGTCGCGGTATTGGACAGTTCATCAGATTCTTGATCAATACCGCTGGGGGAGACTTGAGCAACTTCCACCTCGTTGGGTTCAGTTTGGGTGCTCACGCTGTCGGTAACGCTGGTAGGGAATTGGGAGGAAGAGTTGCACGTGTCACAGGTTTGTTATAGTACTTTTACCTATTTGAGAATTAACTGCAAAAGCATGACATATTTTTGACTATAATGATAATATGCCAACTGGTTCAAGCAGAGTAGAATATACCCACTCTTCCCACATGGATGTCGTTCAGGTCAACTCAAAGACAAAAATAAATATGCAATTTGGTCAGCATGTGGAATATAGACCAAATTCTCTATTTTCCTCTGGTAAATTAGAGAGGATCATGCTTCTACAGCGAAGGCTAAATTTATCAATCAACAGTGTCTTATTCAGGTGTTGCTTTACAGGTCTTGACCCTGCTGGTCCTCTATGGAACTACAGCAACAACAGGCTTAACAGCAACGACGGAGTATACGTCGAGGCCATCCACACCGACGGCGGTATCGGCGGTCTGGGCATCGGGTCTGCTATCGTCGACGTTGACTTCTTCCCCAACGGTGGAAACTCTCAACCTGGTTGCCTGACCAGCTATTGCAACCACATGCGTGCTTGGGAACTGTTTGCTGCCACCGTCACCCATAACCACTTGGTTGGAAACCAGTGTACTAGCACTCTGCAGATCACTGCTAACACCTGCCGTGGCGCTTCTCTCCATATGGGCAATGATGACTTAAGGAAGACTGGGTAAATACCTATATAATTTTCTCGCATTTCAATTTTTCAAAGTCAAGTAAAGTGCATGTTATTCATATAATAATTTGAGTTAGTTACACTGCCATAGCTGCTTAACTATCACACCGAAGTATCTACTAATTTGTAATTCCTAAAATGAGACACAAAGTTGTCTTTCGGGATAATAAATGCTCTTATTGCTATTATTCAGTCGATAATGATGTTATCACAGAGTAGTAGAGTAACTACGCCTGTTTCTAACTCCTTCCCATTAATAACCTAAATAATACATAATATCGTTTTCTTACAGACGCGGTATGTTCCGAGTTAACACTGGCAGAAGATACCCCTACTAAATGACTACATTCCAAGTTATGATGACTCTGTACATAATGTAAATAAATGAAAATCGACTGTTCATTGTTATTTATTTTCTGTTCAATTTTTATACAACTATGCACAATACAATGAACTCCACTGATTTATTACCGAGACGAAAAATTTCACCTTATTTTAATTTGTCTGCAAGCTGAAACTTGACAAATTACTACAAGCATAGTTGCCGCTTTAAAATAAGGGTTTTTTAATCAATGCTGTAAAATGATATTTCATTTTAAAAAGTAATTAAAACCAGATGAAACTATAGTAATTAAGAAAATTATCCTATAGCCCTTCGGCCAAAAATATTTCACTGTCTTCTCTTCGAATAATTACCCGAATTACTCAAATTTTACACAGAATATTATTAAAAACTTTAACCTCGTAAGACCGAAGAGTAAATTGTGTCGACTTCTAAGTATCGCCGAATGTGCTTTCAGAAGAACGAATAATTTGAAGTAGTAAACGCCGAGCACTTCGAGTAAAAAAAATTCTATGTTAGAGATTTTCTTTTGCATTCATATTTTCAGGGGCCCTATATGTATAATAGTGCATAGAGCTTATTTTAGATGAAAAATAATAAAAAAATGTTTTCTCTTAAAAGAACATTCGGTATTGCAGACTTTAAAAAGGAAAAGTAAATAAATTGTATTTTATACTTTAAAGTAAAACATAAATGTAACTTTCTTAATAAATTAATACTACATAAAGATACAATAATGATATTAATAAATGTAACTGAAAAGGAACAACGGTTTTAATTTTATTTAATGTTTCATAATTAGTACTTTTAAAAGTACTATCGGTTTTATAACATACACTAATGATAGGTTAAAATGTACAAGAAGTAAAGTGAATATTCATGTTAATTATAATATTTACTAAACTAAAAATCAGAACGTTCTCATGGTAAATTTTCTCAATCATATCATAATTTTAAAAGTCCAATACTCAATCCCATCTCAATAGAAAAAATATACAAAAATAAAACTTTCACCATCAAGACCGAATGTTCCTTGCAAAGAACTTTTATTTTCAAACGAAAAAAAATCTTACAAAACTACTTCAAATTGGGAAAAATAATTTTTTTGCTTGTTTAGCAGTATTTTAACTTAAATTATACTGGTCAGTTTTGCAATTAAACTACGTTTACGTGAAGAAAAAAAATTAATCGTACATCATGTCTTCTCGGACGAATTACCTTGTCAAAGAAAAATGATAATATGACAGTGACATTTTGTTTTTTTTATATAAATAAGTTCGGATACCTGATTTTGAATACTTTAAGCCATAGACTATCACTCTTTTTTTCGATAGGCGCGAATTTTCGAACTTAAATTTATCGCTAAAGTTTTAGTTCCTCTGAAGGCACATCCGGCGATACTTCGAAATCACCTCCGAAAATGTCTCGGCGTTACTGACTACAAAGTTTCAGTTCCTTCTGAGGCACATCCGGGCTTACGAGGTTAAATCTTATTTAACTTTAGTAAGTTTACGCTCGCCGTAAACCCTCGCTATAGACATAGCTACAAACAAAGAACTAAGTTTGAAATCTGGGTCCGTACCATAGTTTATTTCAGTTTAAAACATAACAGATGTTGGTATTCTTGAGTTGGAAGACAAAAACTTGGAGCTAGTGGCCACAAAGTCGTTGATTAAAGCTGAACTTTTTTCATTTCTTGTTTTAGCAAGTGGTTGGCATTGTAATGGACGTGACGTCATGATGCAGAAAATAGTAGAAGGATTGTTTTGATTCGGGCAAGAAATTGAATTTACGCCCCTATTCGCAAACATTACTATGAGGTCTCACAGTGCGCGTGGACGTACGAACCAATCACAGAGCTATATTCAACGCTGTGCGTTCTATTTGCTGCTTCACTTATCATCACTTATGCAAGCATCGTTTGTGAATACAGCCGTTAGTGAAGCACACTTTTCTCAGTACTTGCCAAATGTTTGTCTTATCGTGACTTTGTATAATTTGCTAAGCTGTAAATAAAGGAAAACAAGAAGGTATATAACATACTATTAGTCTACTTTAAGCTTGTAATGATGGAGACTAAGTAGCGGATTAACACACCTGCATAATTAATTATGCATTTACCGTCTATAGCTTTGGTTTTGGTTTTGGTTTTGGTTTAAGATAAGATAACTTGAGTGTCATTTCGTTATATTCATCATCATCATCATCATTTTAGCCATAGGACGTCCACTGCTGAACATAGGCCTCCCCCAATGATTTCCACAATGACCGGTTGGTGGCGGCCTGCATCCAGTGCCTTCTTGCTACCTTTATTAAATTGTGCCAAACCACGTCCGTCATTTGTTTTTCTTGCTTCTTAAATGATTCAATATAGTAGAGTAGTTCTTCTGCTTCAATTTATTTATATTGTGACGGGCAGCTGGGATTACGACACCCTTTCTGGATAATCTCAAACAGCGGTTGTTTATTTGACGCTTGCTCACTATTGCGGGAAAAACTACGGAACATCAAACCACACATTTTTGTGGCAAAATAGCACTTATCCCGACTACATAAGACCCACAGTGTTTAGTTTGATGTTCTCTGTACACAGCAAACAGATGAATCGAGGCACCCGTGAAATACAGATGCATCTGCACTTTGGTTGCAATAGACTTCGCTACGGTCCCATTTGTTTGTTTTTTGTCGGAGTGTTTCGCAGTTATTAGAATGTTCGGCCAGTGAAAAACGGAAAATCGTTCTATCAAACGTTGGGTTTTGATAGGAGTAAATTGTTTGTATTTAAGTCTCTTTATACGGCGTTTTTATGAGGTCTTTGGTCAACCTTGTGGTTGGACGTTTCAAGCTGCAAAATACCAATTTTAGAATTTACTTATGGAGCTATAGACATCCTAAAGCTGAAATGATAATTATGATGAAGACTTTCATCATTCTTGTGAATATAAAGCGAGGTTTTTCCGATAAAAAAGAATTTCAAAAAGTTTCAAAATAATACAGAAATTCTTCCATTATTTTTCTACTCATGAAAAAGATAGCTTTTGTACTAGATTTCTCTTGATTAAAATACGCACATGCACTAAATTAAAAAGCTCAAGTAATATCAAACGTGATCCATTATTTTTGACAAATAATATTCTCTCCTTTCAATACTGAATTCAGCTGTTTTTCCACCCTTCTAATACTTATAGTCAGAATGAAAAACATCGTGTCGCAGCCTTCAATTTGGAGCTGCCAAACTGATTATTATTTTTATATCACCCGAAGAGCGAATCGATACCGTTTAGTAAGTTCGCAGGCTGGGGCGCTCGCACCGGCTTCGTCGCGCGAATACGAATGTTCCCGTAATGAGAGCGTGAAAAACACTCGCTCCTCACAACTCCTAGCTGTAGTTCTAAGGTGGATTTACACGGGACGATAGTTCCTTTGTTTGTTGTAGACTAGGGGGCTTAGTGTGAGTTTACATCAAACTTATTCGATATCGGGAGGTAAAAACATTAAATGTATGACAGATTGTACAGCGACTCTAGCGGATACTTTCAAGAATTAAAATCTTCATAGATTTAGGTTTGATTTGGGTAGCTTGCCGAGAGACTAAGTATGTGTCAGAATGGAAAAATAGTTCAGAGATCTTTATTTTACTAGCTGTTGGCTACATTATTGCACATTAATTCAGAAGTGCTGAAACATACCTAGATACCAAAAATAAAACTACATTAGCAGACAGATTACCTATACTCGTATAAAAGAGACAAATGTTAATAGATTTGGGTTTTCCAAGATATTTTATAACCTGAATACTGGTGGACGCGCTCCAAGAAGTTCCAGCTCAGTGATAGTAGGTACAAGAAAAAACATTTATTAGGCATCACACTTTTTTGCGTAACGTACTTATCGTAGCGAAAATTTAATAAACCTACTTGATAACGTGAGGCGATTAGGATTAAGATGTAATCGTAAAAACAAAACAAATGCGTACAAAACAAACGTAAGGTGTAAACAGTCCCAAATAAGTGAGCATCGCGATATGATCACGCGATTGCAATCACTAACTCGGGGTTGGTAGAGATTATTTCGGCTCGCACCCCCGCAGTATCTAAAGTGATACTTTTCCGAATCGCTGTTTGATATTCTGATAACATTTTGTGAAATAATAAGAGATGTTACTGTTCGTGCGAGGAGACATCCATTTATCGTTTGGGACTCAGATGAAAATGTTTAACTGCCGATATGCGTGCCCAATAGCTATGACGTGTGTAATAAGCCCTTGTGTAAAATCCTCGTATATTCCACGCTCCGTCATTTGTTTTGCGGATTTGGAATCGAGCTTTGTCTTTGCGTTGTATTTTCTAGGTAACAAAGAGAGCCCTTTAAAAATAAACAGCGTAACATCCTAGAATGTGTATTTATTTATAAGCTGGTCTCTGAAAGTGATAAACAATAATAATACATTGTGCTCTATGCGCTGCTGCCCGTTCTCTGTTTGATGTGTGGACCCTAAGTCGCCTCTTACGACACCCGCGGGAAGAGTAGGGGTTGGTGACAAATGTATTCTACTACAGCGCTCTCTGAAAAACATCAATCTTTTAAACTGCGATCTCCAACCCGCCTGCCAAGCGTGGGGATTATGGCAAAACCCTCCACTATAGTGGAGGAGGCTCATAGTCCAGCAGTGGACTGTAAAGGGCTGTTGATGATGATGATGTGCTCTATGCTCTCATAGCATACCTACCTACGGCATTATTAATGGATTCATGTCGTTTCAGCCGAAGGACATATTTTACTGTCTAGCGCCCCCAAAAAGGTTTACAAACCTGATACCATGACTACATTTTGAATTAGAATCATCATCAAAATATACAATATTAAATAATAATGCTAATGATGATTTCTTACGACATTTGAATAAACGATGACATGATAATTTGAAACAATTCAACTCCTGCTTTTAGTTGGTGCCAATTTGGTTTAATAAATTCTATCAAATTATTTATAATATTGTTTTAAACTATGTAGGTACTTAATACAATATTTTTCATTCTTTCTAGTTACTCGTATAGTCTTTTATTATAGCTGGTACTTCGAGGTAGGATTTTGATATCATTAGGTGTACGTCATAAATTTTCAAACTACGTAACTATCTTGTTATTTAGAAACAGGAGCTCATTAAAGTTTGGAAGCCATTAAAAACAATAAACTAGGAGCAAATCTAGGTCATGAAAGAGCCTTTTTCTTTTACAACTCTATCGTATATTTCCAGAGTGAAAATTAAATGAGTTATCCGAGTATGCCTTTGGGAATACCTCCGGGCTACAGGGAAGCGATGAAATTATAGTGATGCAAACCTACAAGTTAGACTTGCGCTGCGGTTGGGTTTCGAATTGGTTTGATTTCTTTAAAATATTACATATCAAATATTAAAAATAAATTATTGATCAAATTGTTACTTGGAAAAGTTAATGACTTTATCTTTATGCGATAATGAACCAACAATCTAATTAATTTGCAATTCAACTATATGATTTTAACTAGAAAGTTCTAAGATAATTATACGAAAATATTACTGTTCTAAAACTAGCTGTATACATTACTTTNATAACTTTCTTATAAGTCGTAATATAAAGCTGAAATTAACAGGATAGCTTATACAAGGAACATTTTAATTTGTCCATTGTATGCCATGTTCCCTTGTTATAAGGGAATTGCGTAATCGGCCACGAAAGTAAGACTGTTAAAATAAATTAAATTTTTTGAAATCTCTCTTTTGCGCAAAGCCACATCATTTATATTTACTGTGGTTATAAAGGTGTACCAAGGGTACATGCTACACCTTTTTATTCGATTGTAAGAGTACTGGTTTACTTACAAATCCGTTTTATCTGATTTTCGAAATCATTTAATTACACTGGTGTTTATTATTCAAATCAATGACTAATGCTTGAACTAATTTGGACATATCAAGGTCTATCATTGGTATTTTTTTCAAACTTCTGCGTTGAGCCATTTACGAGATCTGGGACATCACAAAACATTACCCCAGCAAAATTCTGAATAACTTGAGAACCGGAACACGAACAAATTTTGCTATTCGTGGACAAATTACTACGCAACAAAAGCTATCTATCCATGTATTTGGTTCCGGGATAGAACGACTTTCAAAAAAAAATTTTGCCAGGGTAATGTTTCAAACATTACCCCAGCAAAATCTGTAAAACTGTAATTTGAACGAATTTTGCTATTAGTGGACAAATTTCTGCTCACGATGGACTAATTATCTGCTATACTCTCGACTCTCTAAAGCACAACATTTATAAAAATTTTGCTGCGGTAATGCACTCATGAAGTTTCGTGAATACATTATTATCATTAATCAAACAAAAATGTTCTGTTTGCATACTGGGTTATCATCTGGTGGAAGGTATTGTATGAGATTATTTAGAATTTTGATTACCCTATTTTTAACATTACCAGAACCATAGTTACCATTTTGGATAAGATATCTATGTTACAGTAGCTATAAACAATGAGACTCGGTTACGGGGTAAAATCAAATAAGCCCACATTTCGATTTTATATTTTATTTAAAAATACGACATAAATCTCAGAAACGACAAAAATGATTACACAAAATTGGACCTTCGTAAGTTGGGACAGCATTAGTCTCATTCGAACATTTCATTGAATTTTAAACTTGTCGTGTCTTAGGAAATAATGGACGGAGCAAAAAGATTGCCACTTAAAAATAAAACTAGTAAAAAATTAGGCGGAGAGTAAAACCTCTATGAAATAGCGGACTTGACTATAAGTTGGATTATGACGTCATATCGTCCGCTTTTTTTTGTTATAACTTAATAAGATTTTCTTCATAGAATAAAACCCTATCATATTTATTTATAATCGTCTTTTTAAATAAAGATTTAATTTGAGATGACTCAAGGTTTTTATAGGTACAAACTAAAGACAGGTACGGACGATGGCACATCAAGGCAAACACGGTGGTACGTGGTACTTTATGCAATTATAACAGAGGTGATTTTGCATTAAAAATGTATAATCTGATGTGCGGTCGACTGTACATAAATGTAAAAAGGTTAGATCTGTCACTATTTACATTTTACTTTTCTATAACAATAACTATGTTAACTGTAGTAAATGTATTACTTCTATGTAATGCCTACTGACATTTTATTATTATTTTACATTTTGGTCTCAACATTTTATCCGCGAGCAATGAAAATACTATGTATGTGTTACACAAATCGCATAGAGCAAACTGTTCGATGGACGTGTCTAAAATTGCTTTAAGGCGGATTCTATTCGTCCTTTATTTTAGTAACTCAATAATTTGTAGTCCGTGACTACCGCCACTAGCTGTTTTTGAATTTATATTTTGCATAGATTTTTCTCCGGCTCGAAGGACTAATAATCTCGAGAAGGTAACTGGTAGTGGCTGCATGGAGAACGTGTTCATTTGCTTTAAATGGCTTACGCCTTGCTCGCAAATGGCTTAAATATTCATGAAATTTAAGTATAGCGCAATTTAAGTATAGCAAATTACACTTTTTTTGTATTTTTTCATTGCATCGCACGCACAAATTAGTGCTACTTTGATTGATTTCCATGCGCGAACTCTACGATCGTCTTGGGGCCGGTGTTGATGACACTGTATTCGGACTTCTTAAGTTCCTCTCGATGCACCTTCTGGTTGCCGTCAACTCGAATGATGCGGGTTCGAAGTCTGCCGCAGCGACCGTCCACGAGTTTTTCATATGCTGTAAAGTTTAACAGAATTATGAAGTTACTCGTCGCCAGTTTGTGTCGATTTACAAAATGACAATTATTGTTTTGGTACTTTATCGTATCGGTATAAAGTTTAAAAGCAAAGAAATAACCTTTTGACGATAATTAAAAGAGACAAGTGACGCAGTTACGACATAAAATCAACAATATAAAATAATCATGACAATAGGCTAGATGACAAAATTTTAATTAGTATTTGTCCGTCAGACAGATAATTAGAAAATATTAAGACTCATATTTTTTATTTTCTTTCATAATTAAATAATATTTTTTTCTTATTATCTGTCTGACGGACTAAATAGAATTTCGATTTCTTTACCCAGTCATCATCCCTATTAACAATATTACAATAAGTTTATAACGGTGTGTTATAATAACTTCATGTTAACATATTATAACATACACGCAACCTGACAGTTCTCTATTTATAGCCTGACCAGGAACATAAAAACCCTCGCCATGTTGCGGAAAACTAATGGTACTAATTTCTTTTAATGGCAACAGTAACTGAAAACTTCATTCACATGTCACCATGCATGTCAGTCTATTGTTGTCAAAGTGTAAACAAACTTTATTTTAAATGTGTGCAATTGATTTCGTGAATTAAATTGCTAAAATATTTTTATAGTCGTGAAAGAAAAGTGGTTCACAATGTGTTAATGTATTTGTCGAAGAGAAATACTATCAACGTTTTCCAAGTGCAATTTATTTTACATCGTCAATGGGTAGCGGTTTTGGCGACAGATTGGTGCAATGGTGTCATGGAGCATCTGGTTTGGTACCCTTCAACGGCCAAGTCACACAACATTAAATATAATAATAAAGAAATCGCAGTAAGGAACCATAGACTTGGCACGACTTTGTCTAGATTTCATTACTTTTTAGAGATAAACAGGCAGCTCCATCGAGACTTGGCTAATTTTTTACAGAATGTTTTTGGTGGGATTTAAGTTACACGGAAACGTATCAATATTTTTATTGAGTGAATTTAACCACCTATAGTGTCGGGAAGTAGGAATACACGTTATTAGTTATTTGCGATCATGCAATAAAATTATTAATTGATTGTGTAAGTGATGAAAGTGTTTTGTGAAATTTATTACCTTTAAAGCCGTCTTAGTTACACGCAATAATTTCTTTAAATATTTTTTTTGGTGGTAGTAACTATTTCAACTTACGTGTAAGTATAATTATGAATATGAGCGTGGGTACCTAACTGGTTCATTAGATTGCTTACGAGTAGTTTTCCGCACTAGTTGCCTTGGAAAAATGGTCAAGTGCGTGTCGGATCGTGCGTGATGTGGGTTCCGTTGAGATGCGTGATAGGAGCATAATCAAGAATTTTAGAGTGCGGTAAAAGTGTTAACTACCAACTGAAAATTAATTATTTACCTACATAAAACGATAGAATAAGGCCATGTAGGATGACAATGAAAAGTCTCCTGTGCGCGCGCGCCTTTATTTGTTAGGTTAGGTAAGGTACTTTGTAAAAGTAACTTGCATTTTTTTCAATTTTATTTCACATCTGTATCCAACCAAGTCTCTTTGGTTCAATTTGGAAAGGACTGAAGCAATGAGTATTTTATTGCTTTATTACGGAATTCTGAAATGCAAGTGTTAATCGTTATGTGTGAAAAAAGAACCGTATTGCCGAAACCTTTATGTCTACCACATTGGTGCAACTTTAACAGGGTATATCGAAGCACTAGTTGGCAAGTATGTAGCTAGGTATTGTTTTTGTGTTTTACAATTTACACGAATACGCATCATGCGTGAAATATTAACAGTTTGTATCGAAAAAACCTATAATAATATTAATTAATACATGAAACAGTAATTCGTTATTTTCTTGCATTAGTTTTGAGTCATTAAGGATGATGGGCACAAATGTATGGAAAGTGGTACCCGCTCCAATAGCCATAACCAATATATATTTTAAAAGGCCTTTAGATGTAGGAAAATGTCTGCTATGGGGCCAGTTCTAATTCACGTTTTGAAAGCAGTAATTCCACTAAGAATTATAATGAAAGTATAACACAATCATCCATGTATACGAGTATGTATTATGACTACAATCTATTAATATAACTAAAAGAAGCATTGAAAAGGAAAGGATTATACCTACGATGAACTACCCAAGCTATTAGCCCTTTATTCGCTTTCATCATAATCATCATGATCATTTTAGCCATAGGACGTCCAGTTGAACATAGGCCTCCCCCAATGATTTCCACAATGGCCGGTTGGTGGCGGCCTGCATCCAGCGCCTTCCCGCTACCTTTATGAGGTCGTCGGTCCATCTTGTGGGTGGACTTATTGGGTCTTGTGGGTTTATTCACTTTAGCAACCCATAATAAAACCCTTAAGAAGTAATAAAACTTTAACCCTAATTATTAATAAAAGTTACACCCTAGTTGAACTCTAGCTTAAATTGTCATTTGGTATGGAAATGTCATTTTAATCCAAGGTTCTTCCTAGGTGTAACTTTTTATTAATAAAGGGGTAGTACTTCTTTAAATAAAAATATTTATTTCACAATTATCCCCATCAATAATTATAGAGTTAAGGAAGGATGCTGGAGCAGTAAACCCTTCCTGCCTCGCATAACCTAAATACCATACGATGGACACGTATGATACTTCTTCTTCTTCTTCCTCGGTCCCTCACTGATGAGGATCGCGACCACAGATAGTGTTCCTCCACAGACTGCGGTCATAAGCTGTGTGGATCGCACGATGCAAAATCCCGCCCACCGTCTTCCTCACCGCGTCCGACCATCTCGTCGGTGCCCTGCCCCGAGCGCGTCTGCCTTCCATACTGTATGATATTAGGTTACACAAAAAGTATCTTTATCTTCGAACGCAACCAGATCTGAGGCTGGTGGCCATAGTAAATGTTGTTCGTCTTGGTAAGACCTTTCAAATGACACTACAAACATAACTGTTGGAGCCGGGTACCATTCTGCAAAAAAGTATGTATATCTTCGTACACAACCAGATCTGAGGCTGGTGGTCATAGTAAAAGTTGTTCATCTTGGTAAGACCTTTCAAACGATACTAGACACATATCTATTGGAGCCGGGTACCATTTTGCCCATTGTCCATATACTTATTTGTTATATTTCATTGAATGCAACATTATTGTAGCGAATAGTAGTTGAATACCAATTTAATCGTGATTTACGTTACGACTAAGTTATTATGAATACATAAATATCATAGTATAGTCCATAAATGAAATCGGATAAATAAATATGATCTAGCGTTTAAGCTAAATAAACTATGAAATTTAAAAAATAATACTCACGGTCCGGTTTGTACGAGTTGTGGCAAGCCATGTGACAGATCGAGTTGAAGCCTCTCAACGTCTTCGGGTCTACTATCACAGTAGCCAATGGAACGGCACATAGTGGGTCCTTCCTCCCTTTGCAGGAGTCCATGCAGCCATCATACGAGTTCTTCTTGGGTTTCTTAGTTCTTCTGGTGGGAGGCGGTTTCGTTGTCGTTGACGGGTTAATCTTCACATTCGTTATTGAGCCTTTGGGTGCAACCACGCGAATTTTCAGATTAGACATAAATGGAACTCTTGGGGGACCAGGATGGACCTGCAACGAGGGTCTCGGCGAGCTCCGGGGAGGAGGGTACCTGGTCGAATTACATAACGAGCCAGCAGTGGTACGAGAGAATAAGGTCGGTGGCGTTGACCGGAACGTTATCGTCGGCCGATCAGTACTGTCCGTGAGACCATTCGTAATGAAGGGGGAACTGGTGCCATCAGAAAATGTGGCCAATGACGTTGATGATGGAGGCAGCGGAGTTGTGGTGGATATTGGAGAAGTGATGAACACTGGAGGCTGCGTCACGCCAGATGTTAGTTGTTGCTGGGGGAATTGGGCGGGGTGCATCTGCGGCGCGTTCTGATATATCACAAAGTAATTTGGAGGAGCTGTGGGCTGTGTCGGGGGCAGAAATAGGGGTTGCTGTGATTGCGGCCCATCGTATGTTATACTTTGCGTTTGCGACATGGTGCTCTTGCCAGACCGAGTTGTTTCTGTTTGCGTTGTGAACTGGGGAGCTTGGGACGGCGTTCTCGGAGTCTGTGAGAAATCAAAGTACTCATTTGACGGCGTGGTCACAGCGTTGGAGGGAACAATGGGATCGAAAGTAGATAATGTTGATGAGTAACTGGATGGAAGAAAATTCGCGTTATAATTTGGAAGAGGGGTACTGGATGGTGTAATAAAAGGATTTGGCGTTGATGAATAAGAGACACTCGACGATGGGAAAGTACTGCTTGATGGGGGACGTGGAGAGCTTGATTCCTCAAACTGCACATTAACGGTAGGGTATGGCGTGCTCGTCGGCGGGTACGGGGTACTAGATGGATAATATCCAGGTGTACTTGTCGAATGATGAGTGACTTCGGCCTCTTGTTGTAAAGAGGAGAAGGAAGGGAGGACAATAATGGGCTTTGTCGGCGAGAATGGAGGTTCAGTGGAGAATATCTCTGATATCGGTTTCGGCGAGTATCCATCGTTGATTGCATTTGCCGAAAACCAGGTCCCTGGTACAATCTCCGATATTTCTGCTCGGCATAGTTGTAACACTGAAAAAAGCCAGACATTGCTTTATGAATTGAGGAATAAAATACAGTTTATTCAATAGGGCGCCAAATTTTCACCAAAATATCTATCCGAGATCTATGTAACCAAAAGTTGTGCTTATCAGTCAGATAAGATCCAGATAGGCTATCAGGGACTTTATAGGTTTTCTTGAGGTAAAGCCACATGAGATTCTTAGTTTATTTTTCGTCTCAGTTAAATTACTTTTTTGAATATTTGAAAAAGACCAGATTGATTTGTGTTCTGCAGCGTACCTACCTACTACTTATATCATCTACATGAGTAAGTATAGTGCAAGGTTAAGCAATCGTTTCTAATTATAGTGGTTTTGCAGCGGGTTTCGCGGTCTTGTCACGGGAAGGGGAATGCAACTGGTTTCGAGCTTGTCTGTAGGGTCAAGAACCTTCCAAATCTGGTGGACGCTTCAAGGAAATCGTTAATGCATTGTTGATGCAAGATTTATATCTGTTTATGCTATTCTACATATGTAGATGTTTATCATGACGACACAAATTACGAGTAATGTGGTTTTCATATCTTTTTAAAAACCTTTATCCTCTTTTTACCTGACTGCGCGACGCAATGGAGTGGTAATTATTAGGTAAACAAAGGTTAGGGTAGTTGCTGTAGGTAGGTACTTTTATAGAGCTAAACTCTAGAGTAGGTAAGTACTATGTTGAGCAACTTTTTTTCTTTTCAACCAAAAGTCAAATTCCTTTAAAATCTTACCTTAATTCAATGATTTGATTACCTACTCGATTTACATGAAATAACAGTATTTATGATAACGAATGCTAGCATTTTGCATACAATTTTGTATAAGTACTAACATTAAATTGTACGACACTACAAGCGCCTATTGAAAAGCCACAAAGTATTTAGACTAGGGCACTACAATTAACTTGTCATACAAATCCCCGTGCCCTGGAAACACGGTTTATAAACAGGAACAAATCCCTCATCCGATCCATTGGCTAGCTCACACGCTCTACAAACATTACACAATGTATGAAACGTGCGTACGCGCAGCTACGAAAACTTTCACTGATTTGATTTAGCCGTTTGATCGATTACGGGTAAATACGGGTTATTAGGTCTAAAAGTTCACTATATTAAAGGTACTAAATAATGATCGCATTTTTTTGTATGAAACGGACATCCCGCATTATAAATAAAATAATACAAAAAATATAATGCGCTCCGTACTGCCTTTGTTTATTATGCTCGTTTAGTAAAACATGATTTATTTCTTTTAATGTCTGTTAAACATGAAATATATTCTATATCAATTATTTCGAATGTTCTTGTATCTGAAACGAAAACTACGTAAGACGAGAGAAAATAGAGTAATTACTTATTTCAATATTTTCAGACGTTTAACAATAAATAAATACTTATAAAATGATCACAAGATATTAATGCAACAATAATAAAGTGCTAATAAAGTTAATCATCCGTAAACATTTGCATTGATTGAATAGTCATGAAAGGTCATCTTATTATCATGATACATTATTGTACTAGGAGAAGTACCGAGTATAAAATATTTTTCAGTATTACCCCTAATATAAAGCAGTCAGGTCTATTAGGCTTTAGGAAACAGATTAATTTATTATTGTATTTAATTTTAATACTTATTTCCTGTGCATGGACCGGATTTTTTAAGACTCCATTCTGTGATCGCTCGTGGGGCGATTCGTTGTGCGCAGTTTTGCACGTGGAGCCCTCGGTAAGTACATAATTATGTTCTAATTTATAGTTTTTTTTAACACTGGCACACTTTATAATAGTGAATATTATCTGCGATTCTAAAATATTTTCTTCTCTTTTTTTCTTTGTTCCTGTAGTAGCCACTGATTTCAGACAAGCAGATTACAGTTCACCATCATTCATCGTCTAAGTCAGGGTTTCCCAATTTTTTTTTGCCAAGGAACCCTAATTGATTATACTTTTCCTAGCGGAACCCCCGTACTACTCCGCCCGCACGCCCTGCCCGCTCCCTTGTGCGTAAACAAGTCGGTGCGAGCGAACAACGTCTGTCACGAAACGTGGGATAATATTTTTTACGGAACCCTTGCGGCCTTTCCACGGAACCCCAGGGTTCCGCGGACCACCATTCGGGAACCGCTGGTCTAAGTTAGGCCTCAGCCTCGAACTTAGCGGGCAGCGGGGCGGCGGCGGCGGCGGCGCGGGAGCGGCAGGATCTTATGCGTAAAATCAAATAGACCGGTTCTCGAAAACAGCGGCGCGGCAGCGGGCAACGAGCGGGCAGCGGCGAGGGAGCGGGCAACGAGCGGGTAGCGCACTCCTTCTTTTGCCCACAATAAATCGAGCGTTAGGAATAAATTTGAATCGAAATAAAATTGTCGCCGTTGTTCAGACATTTGGTTTGCGAATAAAAACAAATATCTCGACAACACAACCCCGAACACAACACTTCGCCGCTAAAGCGCCGCGCGAGCTGCCCGCTTGTTTCGAGAACGGGTCTGCGTTGCCCGCCCCGCTCCAGCGCCGCCGCCGCTCCCGCCCCGCTGCCCGCTAAGTTCGAGGCTGAGGCCTTATAATGAAATTGCGATTTTCTTTTAAATTTACAGTCTTCCAGGCCTGGTCCTGAATATTTAGACCCCATTTGTTGAAATAATCGTCGAGATTGTAGAAAAAGCGGAATTAGTTATTTGTACAGTTATTGGATTTCATCTGATTAGTTTCACCTAAGGATTGTTACATTTTCTTCATCTCATTGACTTCCAATTCAAACCAGTCTATAGCAGCATGTATTCAATGTTTATTGGCATTTTAGTTTAAATAAAATATGATTTTTCATTTGAAAAAGTTAATTGCCTTGCGTAGAAATCGAATTCAGTAATCGGTGAGGTAACCTCGGTGCATTTCAGTGGTAATCATCTCAAATAGTGAGATGAGAACTCACATTTAAACTAAAATTACAGTAGGATGTGATGTATGTCACACCGAATGTCCGCTTTGCAATGGAGGGAAGTCGAACCTTAATTTCGAACTCCTCCTATGTTCTTCTGATTAATTTCGTAGCGGGTCCAATGACAGTTTAACTTTCCCCCGGGACAAACTTGACCTACATTGGTTGGGTTTTTATGGCGGTCAAGCTGTAGATCCTGGCTACACAGGATGACAGGAGTTGCAGTGGTGGGAACGAGAGGTGGGAATGTCCCATATGTCACACTGAAGTGTGACGCTGAAGTGTCCAGCGGCATCGAACGTCTAGGTAGACTGGAAACCTTCAGGCTAGTTGTGATAAACTGTGTCTATTTACTTAAATTTACAATAGCCAACTAGTTAATTGAGTGAAGCATTTCTTTATGCAACCATCGAAAGAACCAGACGTGCGTCTATCACACGTATGTTTATTTTAAATTTAAGTTATTGCATGAATAAATAAATCCGTTCACGTTTGAACGGTTTTATTGGCTTACCATTTCCGAATTTTAACAACTGTTTAGTTTTTGCTATAGCCGTTACCTCAGCAATACCGGTTGCACACGTTGCACATGACGAAACCAACATTTGTACTGGGTGATTAATTAAAACAAATCAAATACTCCTACTGTTATTATAAACTACGAAACTTTCCTACATGTTACATAATCACGCATTTTTAAAGAACTTCCTCTTCTCTAGGTATATTTTTCGAGAAAAGCCAGCAAAGGATTTCAATAACTAATATTTATCTCCTTAAATATTGATACATCTTGCAAATTAGACTCATTTATAACAAAGTCCTAATGTACCCACATTATAGTTTTGAAAGAAATTTTAGTATAACAAATGAAGGAATTACAGAACGGGAAATCTCTGATAGAGGTTACAAGAACATAGAGTCAAAAGACACTGAAAGAAAAACAATAACATGCACTTCCACGTTACATACCTACATCTATAGTCTTTATCACGTAAGATGATCCGTATGACACTTCAGTTATCTATATTACGCATACTACATATGCAGAATATTTTTGAAAAAATATTTGTATTTTATTAGCAATATAATAAAAAAAAATACTTGTCTTGAAATATATAGTAAAATCTGAGTCTATTGATTATATCTTAATTAAATACGATGTAAAAATATTTTTTACTTAATGTACGCAATGTGTGAAACGGAATAGATTAAGTGCTGGGGTATTTCTTGTATAATAAAATCTATTATTTCCGCGGTTCATTAATCGATTGCAGTGAATACTTAGTTATTAAAAACATCACAAAAATCAACTATATTTTTCGATTATTGACTTTAATAAACACATTGAAAATAAATTAATAGTTTTTAATTCAAAGAAACAGAACCAGTACTTTTTAGGAATCGTTTTTTAGAACACGAACCATGAAATTGGAATATTATCAATAAAAAATTGTTACAATTATATTTGTAATTAAAAAAACATGTTTTTTTTTGTTAAATAACACCTATACAAAATATTTCTCTAAAAGTAGGTTTTACTAACTCTTCGAAAAAATCGATAGATAAATCGCTGTGGTTAAGTTATGTGACATCTCTAAATCTTTCAAACTCGAAACGTCATACGGATCATCTTAGGTGAAAAAGACTATAAATAAAAAGAGTTTAGATTCTACTTATCCTAGATTGAAGCTTCAGACTGAAAAGAGAAAAGATTTGGGTTGTAAACATGTTGGAATATAGCTTGATTAAATAACTACTAAATATACTGATAGTCTTTACTTATTAAAATATGCCAATGAAAAATAAACCCGCCGTAAAACGACTTTAACCGTTTAAGGTTACAACATTTAAAAGCATTCGACTTCTTTAATGCAATAGGTATTATTATTGACTGCAGTTGCGGCGTTAAAATGCACGCACGCATTGTTTTGTTTGTTAAAAAAACTCAGGCGCAGGCGCAGGCTGGAACTGTGCATAACATCGAGATGAGAAAAAGTTTGTAAATCTTAAAGGTTCTAGCTGGCTATCAGTAAAAGAAATAGGGGACAGTTTTATAAAAGAAAAACTTACCCCTTATAGGTACAAGAGGTAGTTTGTACACGAGGTGGTTTTTTACGAAAGAGTAAGATAGGTTCTTTCAATAGGATTGAAAATGTGACACCGTTTACTTAACTTTACACTTATGATCTTTGCAATTATTAAGCTAAAGTGCAAAGCTTTTCACGCAAATGTATCAAAACATGTTCTTAAATCATGTTAGGTGAAAAGAAATTGTAAGGTGTAGTCAATGTACCTACAAGTAAAGCATTTATGGATTCTAGAAAGATAATCACAAATTGTTACGCAGTTAGATCCTTTATAAGAACATGAAATATAGATACAGGTTCATAAATAAACATGACTGTGAAAAACAACACTACATCATATAACTCACGGTACAGTTTCCGAACGCACACTGACTCGAGCTTTGCAAACGGACATCCTCAAAAAATCGGTTTAGAAACCTTCAATCGGTCCTAAAAACAATAACACTTCAAATCACTGTGCACTTTATGAAAATTTAAACTTACGTGTTATAACGACGAGCGCGGGCGCAGCGTGCTTCATGCTTGCCGAGCGAAGCTGGTTTGCGGTGTAAACGGCTCCGGACGGTCAATCCTGTCCTTCCTTAACCAGTAGTGACGACCCACGCCTGGCTGGCCAGAGGCTCACCGGTTCACTCAATCAGATTGAATCATCCAAATTCATTACAGATGACATGAAACATACATCCAAAATTAACAATTTTCGCGCGCAGTGAACTGTTAAGTGGGTCACAATATAATGAGTTGTACTGCTACAATAGCACTGACAAATTGAGGCACTTATTTTTATTTAAAGCAATTATTGAGTGTAATTTCCAAATTTTGCCCCAAAATGAGTATCCATTGAACCGTCTCCTTTGGCTTGATTGTATCGACTGTGAAAGACTGGACTGCTCTCAAGGCGTTTTCACTGTTGGATAACATGCGGAAACATGCCATTTTCGATTGAATATATTAAACGGTGCAACATGCGTGTAAATTCACTTTATATAAAATCGATTTGTTTGAAGTCAGTGGTGGTGAATCGGTGCTATTGAACCACCAGACACAGACATTTGGGGCCTTATTACAAAAAAATTAAACCCGGGACGAACTCTTGTTTAAAATGACATTTCCATACTAAATGTCAATTTAAACCAGGGTTCAAACTGAGACTAACTTTTTGTAATAAGGGGGGTGGTGACTTAAAGAATTTTAGATGGGTAGTTAAATCTTGGAAATGTTTGTGCTCTAGGTACTTTGTAATTGAATCTTAATCCTTACTTCTCTACTTATAAATGCTAAAGTAAGTCGGTCTGTCTGTTTGTTACGCTTTTACGCCTAAACCGATTTTGATGAAATTTGGCATGGAGATAGTTTGAGTCCCGGGAAAGGACATATAATAGTTTTTATCACGAGTTTTGAAACAAGGACCCACGCGATAATGTTATAAATAAGGGTAAAAGCTAGTAGAATATAACAGAATAATAATAGTACAATTACAGTGTCAAGTTTGGCTCATTCAGTTTTAGGATTTAATCTTATGTGGGAAAAACTTTATTCTAAGTACGTAATTTGACTTTGGACATCATTTTGTAAGCATGAAAAATAAACATGATTCGGAGCCATCGGCCTTCGAAATCGAAATAACAAATTGTCCAAACTGGTTGAATAAATTTCGCATCCCTATCCTCCCGCAGGCTCTGGATGTCGTTTTTTAAACGCACAAGGAGATTACGTCATCGGGTAACTTTTTGTTTCAAAGCAATTTTGCGGATTGTGTTGCTAGGTCAAGAAAAAAGAGTGATTGGTCGTACCTTCTGGAAGGTTTGGAATTCCTGACTCGAGCATTTAGTGCGAAGGGCAGGCAGGTGACGCAGTTTTGATCAATATGTGGTGCTACTTATCTCTGGCATGGATGGAAGAGGTGCTACCTAACTTATACCTTCACCTGTCTTCACCTATGTTTAGACTAATTAATATTATAGCTTGCAAAACGTTTTTGAAATAAAATGATAAATGATACGAAATTAATGTAAGCAAATAAAAGTAAGTAAGTTAGAGAAAGTAATAAAGAAAAAATAATTTTCTTTATACAAAGTAGTTCATTAGTTTATTCGAAAAATAGTACATAATGTTCATGATTGTCAATAATTTAGTGACAAAATCAATTAAAGAAAATTGCTTACGGTCAATAAGGTGCATAACACTGCATCAAATCAAAATACAGTATAAAATGTGTTCAAGACAATGACATAATGATAAACGTATACAAATGTAGAGCCTTCTGCTCCATTCTCTCTTGTGATGTATTTTGAAAAGTACGACACTCGGGTGAAAAATGAGCTTTTGCCCTTATACCTAAGTAGACGGGTGCCGCTAACTATACCTACTAATATGCCGAATGTAGAGTCTTCGTGCTTCTCTCCTGTACTACGACACACTAAAGGTCCACCGGAATCACCCTGAAAAAAAAAAAGCTCTTAATGTATCACCTACAAAATGAATTGATTTTTAGTAAACCCTATTAGAAATGGACATTTTGTCGTATTTAGTTAGATTAAAGGTCTTAAGAGCACAACTACAATATAGGTAATCCTCGCGCTTAACTCAGTCTGAGCTCCATAGCTCCATCCCGTGCCCATGCACGGGAGTGTTTTTGTGACGGTCAAATGACCGTGAGACCTCAGATTTGTATACCCTGTCACGTCTTAATATTTCAATGTGACTTTTTTTGTACTACCCCCAACTTCTAAGATTTTCTATGAATACCATTTTGTATATGTATATATATTATGTTCTCATAGTAAGCGAATTTTTGTAATTCTTAGCCTAGGCGCAGACCATCGATTTTTCGTCGGCCGATAGTTTAGTCGGGCTGTTGATCAGTACGGGCATGTATGGAGCACATTACACCGATTCGATTTGGCCGATTCTTCATACAAATTAAAATCGGGGACAAATATCGGCCAACTGAAAATCGGTGGTCTGCGCCTAGTCTTAATGAGAATAAAGATCTGAAACCTGTTACTCCTCCCGTGCGTTAGACCTGTAGTGTTGCCATTACTACATTGTGAAAAAGGGTACGTGTAAGGCATAAAGGCAATATAAAGGAAGTGTGAGCGAAATACTCAGCAAATATGGCAATACCTGGGCAACATCCGATACTTTAGTGTTAGTGCAGATGAATCTTCTCATATTTCTGCCGTGCAGGTTGGTGCACCAATATGTTGGCAGCAACTCTAACCGTGCAAGCAGCAACTTTTCAGAGGATATCTACAAACATACTCCGTATATGGCATAGCATCCTGTTTAAGTTATTTTCTTCTATTTTTCTTCTTTTCTTGTCAACAACAAACCTACCCAGTATCAGCCCAAAACTCTGCTACAAGAGTGGCATTGTCAGTAGCTTTCTTTAAATCTTCCTGCGTGCAATTTTTTGGGCACACAGGGGTCGTGCCCTGTTTTCTGCTATTTAAGAAGTGATTGTTCAATGCCAAAGATAATAGTGTACCACACTAAAAAGCCTAGCATGGACTGACTCTATAGAAAAGCGATCTTTCTCCTAATGCATATTTAGGGGTGAATGATGGTGATGATCCCTTCGCTTCCATTCCGTTCACGAATACTGCAGAACCAAATGTGCATGTATTGTGTCAACACCCTTAACTAGCGATTCTAACCATTGAGCACACTGACAAAACTTCTAAGTTGAGGATATTTGGTGGGTTTAATTGGGACATGTAAAAGCGCTTTTTAAAAGCCTCATCGTTCATCGTTTCAGCGAAATGACGTCCACTACTGGACGAAGGCCCCCAAAGAATTTCAAAATGACCGATCCTGCGTTGCTCGCATCCAGGTACTTCCCACCACCTTCACCTAGGAAATTTAAAAAATAAAGTTTTAAAATCCTAATTTGAAAAAATAAATAACTTTTACGACTTTTATTACTTACCGGCTTTATTGAATGTATTCTTCCGTATCCTGAAACCAGACACTCTCCTTTATAGTCGATGTAGCGGGTGGCGTAGGGGATTGGTTTAATAAGCGCGTTGAAATGGAAAGGCTCTGTCGTGATCTGTGACAATTCACAATTTTCTCGATTTATATTACTCTGTCACATCACGGGTAACAGAGCTGTCACAGTATTAATTTATTCAATATGCCCATGCTTTTAAGCTGAAGCATATCTGAAGTCTTGCAGGCATTTAACGAAACAAATTAAAACACCTTCTCCCGCACCGGTCCACTACAGCTGGAACCAACTCAGTTGTGCTGAGGTATCGAAGTAAGATAATTTAATTCTTTACATATAGGTGGCCTAAATGTGGACAGTGGAAGACAAATGGGCATTTTATAAAATTTACGATTGTCAAAAGAAAAAATAACTATACCACAATCGCGATATCATCTTTGGGAAACTTGTAAGTTGAGGGTGAGATGACCATCTTTAACCTCCTCCATTGTGCACCTGACGGGTTGTCTTTGGGTTTGTACACATCCTTGTTCAACAGGGTGCCGGCCACAGCGAAAAATTGCGAAATGTGCCTTTGAGTTTGTATTCTGTGTGAAAACTAATAAATATTTTAGTTATGGCTGGTTATGGCATGAAAAAATCCGCCCATATACTTCTAGTGTTTTGGTTGTCAATGGACGCTGTAAGGTTTACCATAAATAAATATTTTAGCAGCTATAAACATGGGAACGGGGCCATCGTGCAACTGCTTATTATTACGGGACTATTTCCACCGCTGCAACTCCTGTGTAGCCAGGATCTTACAGCTACCATTATCATCAAGCAGATAAAAGGAGAAAGCTGACTAAAATTTAGCAACAAGAGTACTCGCTGCGACAAGGAAAAATTACCGTGTTTCAAGCGATTTTGTGAAAAATATTCTTGATAGGTAGCTCACAAGATAGCTATAGCCTCATAATTGATACTTACTGTCAGTAGTGCATATCTTTTGAAGGTTACTTAACCTTTATTTTGTCTTCCTGTCACCGCTTTGCACTGGAGGGAAGTCGAACTTTAACTTCGAAGTCCTCCGGTGTTCTTCTGATTTTCATTGCAGATCCAATGACAGTTTAACTTTGCCTCGGGACCAACTTGACCTTCACTGGTTGGGTTTTATTGGCGGTCAAGCTGTAGAACCTGGCTACACAGGAGTTGCAGCGGTGGGAGAGAGTTGGGAATGTCTCGTTGACCAGACAACTAATTCAGAGAACTAACACATTTACAAATTAATGTTGTGATGTATAGGCATTTGGCAGACTTACTTAATAAGTGAATATTAAGGCAGATAACAGATCTCTTGCTCCCACTAATTCAAAGACGTAGAAAATCGTCTATTTGGTACTAAAAAAAGAAATTTTATTAAGGATCTGTAAACTACTTACACAGAATCACTGCAACAGCTGAATTGGCTGGTCCTGAAGCAATGGGCCGCGGAGACCAACTTTGAAGGTCCGATGATAACTCCGCCACAAAATGACCAGCAACTTTTAGTTTGCATGTCCATCAGTCTTTTGAAACTTATCTGAAAACATGTAGACAGCTAAATACTGATCCGAAGAACTTCATACGTTTAGGATACGGATGTAGATACCATTGTAGAGACACTGAAATGTTTATTTATATTACCAGTCATAAACTCCACATTTACCTGATAGGGTACATCGCCCAGGGAGGCATCGTAGCCATTCACCACTCGTGGTATCAATGAAGACTCATTCACATAAGTTGGTTTGACCAAAACCTGTGGTGAACATGCCCCAATGATGAACAACAAACTCAGAGCAAAGCACCTATTAACGTCATGAAGCATTTCAAGATGGGCAAGAAATATTCATGCGTGTGATATAAATTCATATTTAAAATATTATGTTCCCAAAGCTGTGTTATTAAATATTAAAAATACTTGTTTTATCAATTACATTATAATGACATTTCGGGACGTTTCAGGAAGATAGATTTTTGACAATCCACTTATCTGTCCGAAACCTGTGGATCATTCAGGTTTTGGAATATTTTTATTAATCGTATAAATTAATTAAATATTTACCTACTTCTTTTAATAATTTTGTAGTTAATTAAACTGTAGGTACATGAAGACCAGGGATTCTCGCTAATAAGAGTTTATTGGCAATAAGTTTAAAGATGTTGCTGACACTATGCAAAATTAAGAAGAAAACTTCTCAAGTTTTTAGCAGAACAGCAGAGAACAGCAAACAAAAATGTTTATGATTAGGATTTCGTCAACAAATATGTAGTTAAATAAAAACAGTTGGATCTAACTAACTAATCTCAAATGAAAACTTGTCAATATAACGGTGTATTAGCCACGACAACGATATTCTGCGGAGCGTAGTAAAATTGATTTTTATAGTTCCAAAATACTGGACTGTCCTGTCGATGACATTGACAGTGGGGCGCCACCGTCAATACCGGATCGCTGGTTCAGATTTTTGCCATGTTGGAAACCATATAGTTGAACGATGGTAGCGCCCCCCTGTCATTGAGTTTGGCGGGACAGTTCAGCGTGGGTCATCTATAACTGCCGAATAGGTGTTATTTTTTAAAAGTACATTATTATTGTTGGCAGTTACTAACTTTGTGTTGTTCATTAACAAAATGCAGCGATATTTTTGAATTCAATTTTACTGACGACTACATAATTTATTATTTATTTAGTGTTTATACATAAGATTAGTTTTTTTCCTTCCTGTTTATTGTCTTTAAAATATTGTTACTGCAGTTTAATGTATGTATTTGGTTGGTTGGACTTTCTTCTTCTTTGAAGGATCTTTAATTTCCTGACTTACTAGTAAGCCTCATTGACATAATGAGTTTATAACAGCAATAAATGTATATGTATAGCAATGTCTTCACTGTGGTCTTCACTTTTCTAAATGTCTACTTCTTGAACTTGAAAGATGTGATTTAGGATTTACGTTGCAGCATTACCTACGTAATAATAGTGTCGTTAAAGCGATTAGCGATAACATCTTTTGCGCTGTCTGCTCTTTGACACAAGATTTAACGATCTATTCAGATTTTATCATCACTGAAAAATCTTTATAAGGTCTGCTTCCTGATTTCCATTTTAGTCTTTCTCGAGTGTTCTGTCTTTGCTTTCCTTTTTTTTCTTACAGTTTCTGTGCAGTGGTAAACCATACTTTGGGAGGTAAGTTTAACTATACCGACGAACAATTCTGATTCTTCCATGGTTCATATCAACTTAAATATACTTTTTTTTTTATAGAGCAGCCAAAACATGGTTCCAGACGCTACCACAGCAGATGGACATCCAGAAAAAGATGAGTGCTTTGAAGATAATGAAATCAAATCGAATTCCTTGCCGAAACTGGAAATACTATACTTCAACGTTATGACATTCACGTTCTTACATCTATCTGCGCTTTATGGGCTGTATTTGGGATTTACATCAGTTAAATGGGCAACTATAGGACTTGGTATGTACGCCCTAAAATGTAATATCTATATGTGGGTGATTAAAATAAATGTGGTCATAGCCAGAGTCGTAAAACAAACTGAAACAAAACATTCATTTCCTGGTTATATTTAAACGTTCTTATTTAATTTTATTTCAATATTGTGCTTGATTATTCTCATTATTTCAGGAATTATATTTTATTTTTTTGCTGAGATTGGAATCACTGCTGGTGCCCATAGACTATGGAGCCACAGAAGCTACAAAGCGAAACTCCCCCTGGAAATACTTCTCATGGTGTTTAACAGCATGGCATTTCAAAATACTGCGCTCTCGTGGGCTAGAGACCATCGTGTGCACCATAAATGTCCTGACACCAATGGTGATCCTCACAATGCGAATCGAGGATTCTTCTATTCGCACGTAGGATGGCTAATGACCAAGAAATCTGATGAAGTCATCAAACAGGGAAAATTGTGTGATGTGGCTGATTTATACAGTAACCCTGTGTTACGTTTCCAGAAAAAGTAAGTTACTTAACTGTAAACATCAAATATACGAAGATGTAAATCACTGAAATCTGAAATTCAAAGAAAAAATTTAATACCTCATGAATTTCTGGTATTATAAACTCATGAATTCAACTTGGTAATTAGCAAATGAGCGTTCCGCAACACATCCGATATGTCAAGCGAAGTCGGGTAACGTTTTACAACGTTCACTTAATGTGCATCTTTAAATGATAATTTTTACAAAACCCAACATCAAGATTTTAATACCCTCAGCAAAAGTCTACAAAATATTTCTAGCTGTGTTCTGGAACATTTGTGTAGATTTCAAGCCAAATCAGAAACAGTATTGAAATCATAAAGACATTTCTGTAGGTCTAAATATCAAACCAGTTTTTTTCGAAAAGGTATTTCTTTATTTTGTCGGTCTAGTTGTGTTGTAGAAGTCATTGCCGGTTGTTGCGGTACGTAAAATTTGGCCGAATTTAACTATTGATACGTCTTGGTTAATGATGCATAGCATCGAACCTTGATTGTAAGTTGCAACACGCGTTCGCATGTTTAGCGTTTGTCGCATTGCATTCACGAAATTTCGACCTACGTAACTGGTAGTTACTGCTTGAATTATTTTTCGTGGTAATTAATTATTCATAATTATGTACTTATTATTGCTATATTATTTATATTGAAATGCATGCCGGAACTCATTATAGTTAATAGGTATTATTTTATTAGCACGAATAGGTACGGCTTTACCAAATTTCATACTTACCTACCTATTTCTAATAATTTTACTAGTTTTCAATCTTTTATATTATTTGGTAATATTATTAATAATGAAACAATGTAATAAATATCTAAAGAATAACTATTGTTTATACTTTAGCCATTTAACATTATTGTTAAGAAAGTTTTTATCGTTCGTTTCAGCCAAATGACGTCCACTGCTGGACAAAGGCCNACAATCACAACATACATTCACAAAACTAGATAGAAATTCTTAGTAGGCAGATGTAGTGAAAATAGGGTCTGCCTGTGGGCAGCCCTATCGCATGTTGTCATAGGGTGACGTACCGCGCGGCTGTTGACATTTATTTAAAAAATATGGCCGAGTTGGAATACTGTATAGATAGTATTACCGTGACTATACCGACGAACAATTTGGATTCTTCCGTGGTTCATGTCAACTTAAATATACTTTTTTTTTATAGAGCAGCCAAGACATGGTTCCAGACGCTACCACAGCAGATGGACATCCAGAAAAAGATGAGTGCTTTGAAGATAATGAAATCAAATCGAATTCCTTGCCGAAACTGGAAGTACTATACTTCAACGTTATGACATTCACGTTCTTACATCTATCTGCGCTTTATGGGCTGTATTTGGGATTTACATCAGTTAAATGGGCAACTATAGGACTTGGTATGTACGCCCTAAAAATATATACTTATGTAATTATCTCTATGTGGGTGACTAAAATAAATGTGGTCATAGCAAGAGTCGTAGAACAAACTGAAACAAAACATTTATTTCCTTGTTATATTTAAACGTTCTTATTTAATTTTATTTCAATATTGTGCTTAATTATTCTCATTATTTCAGGAATTATATTTTATTTTTTTGCTGAGATTGGAGTCACTGCTGGTGCCCATAGACTATGGAGCCACAGAAGCTACAAAGCGAAACTCCCCCTGGAAATACTTCTCATGGTGTTTAACAGCATGGCATTTCAAAATACTGCGCTCTCGTGGGCCAGAGACCATCGTGTGCACCATAAATGTCCTGACACCAATGGTGATCCTCACAATGCGAATCGAGGATTCTTCTATTCGCACGTAGGATGGCTAATGACCAAGAAATCTGATGAAGTCATCAAACAGGGAAAATTGTGTGATGTGGCTGATTTATACAGTAACCCTGTGTTACGTTTCCAGAAAAAGTAAGTTACTTAACTGTAAACATCAAATATACGAAGATGTAAATCACTGAAATCTGAAATTCAAAGAAAAAATTGAATAGCTCATTAATTTCTGGTATTAAAAACTCATGAATTCAACTTGGTAGGTAATTAGCAAATGAGCGTTCCGCAACGCATCCGATATGTCAAGCGAAGTCGAGTAACGTTTCACAACGTTTACTTAATGTGCATCTACAAAATATTTTTAGCTATGTTCCGGAACATTTGTGTAAATTTCAAGCCAAATCAGTAAACCACGAAACAGTATTGAAATCATAAAGACATTTCTGTAGGTCTAAATATCAAACCAGTTTTTTTCGACAAGGTACCTATGACTTTATTTTGCCGGTCTAGTTGTGTTTGTAGAAGTCATTGCCGGTTGTTGCGGTACGTAAAATTTGGCCGAATTTAAGTATTGATATGTCTTGGTTAATGATGCGTTACATCGAACCTTGATTGTAGGTTGCAACACGCGTTCGCATGTTTAGCGTTTGTCGCATTGCATTCACGAAATTTCGACCTACGTAACTGGTAGTTACTGCTTGAATTATTTTTCGTGGTAATTATTCATAATTATGTACTTATTATTGCTATATTATTTATATTGAAATGCATGCCGGAACTCATTACAGTTATTATTTTATTAGCACGAATACGGCTTTACCAAATTTCATACTTACCTACCTATTTCTAATAATTTTACTAGTTTTCAATCTTTTATATTATTTGGTAATATTATTAATAATGAAACAATGTAGTAAATATTAGCCATTTAACATTATTGTTAGGAAAGTTTTTATATCAACAATTATCTACTTATAACTTCTTGTTAACAATATGAAGCTGTTAAGAAATTAAAAAGCTATATAAATGTACGAGTATGTCTTAATTTCTGCAGTTCATGTTGTTATTTGGTTTCAGATACGCAGTGCCGTTTATTGGAACGCTTTGTTTCGTTCTACCGACTCTTATCCCGATGTACCTCTGGGGCGAAACTTTAAACAATGCCTGGCATTTTAACATGTTTCGTTACGTCGTTAACCTAAACGCAACGTTCTGCGTCAACAGCGTCGTCCATAAGTGGGGCTATAAGCCGTACGACAAAAATATTTGTCCGACACAAAACGTTCTTCTGAATCTTGCTGTGCTTGGCGAAGCGTTCCACAACTACCACCATGTGTTCCCATGGGACTACAGGGCGGCGGAATTTGGCAACCAAAAAATGAACCCCACGACTCTGTTCATAGACTTCTTCGCTTGGACTGGATGGGCTTATGATCTCAAGACAGCGTCTAAAGAAATGATCAAGAGTAGGTCGGAGAGAACTGGCGACGGCACGGACTTATGGGGTCACAGTGCCGATAAACTAAAATAAAAGCAATTTTATTATTTAGGTGCAACTAAATAGATAAAATTCAATCAGTGAGATTTTTCTAGACTTTTTCGATTGCCTTTTTTGTTACGGGTTTTTGTATGTATTTATGTAAAATTCGATATGATTATGTATCAATATGACAAAATAAAGATATTGAACTACTTACTCTCTATTGATTCTTCTCTTTAGATGCGTCTAGTAGTGCGTATTCTAGCGAGTGTTGCAACACGCTTACAGGAACATCTCCACCGCAATGCCAACGATCCTGGTAAGTGCAGCGCTTATGAAAAACTGACCTAGGCTCCTATAAGAAAAACAACACCATGATTCTGCTACAGTATATTTATTGCAAGCAAGAATAAAAGGACGATTCTGTTGAGAGAGATCCCATTGCTGGCGTTGTCTTGCTTCAAGATGAACGGTATGGGTTCGCCATGGGTGTAGCTGGACAGCCGCGTGTAGACTCCAGGGTCGACCCCGCACTCGCCCCCGTACGAGACCAGCCCCACTAGGACCCCGTGGCATACTATAGGGCCACCAGAGTCTCCCTGGAAAAAGACATTCTGACATTGCAATGTTTATCCATATATCGTATTTACATTAAAGTGACAAATGTTTAAAAGCATCGTTCGTTCGTTCGTTTCAGCTAAATGACGTCCACTGCTGGACAAAGGGCTCTACCAAGGTTTTCCACAATGAACGGTCCTGCGCTGCCCGATCCAGGTTCTACCAGCGACCTCTACCAGATTGTTGGTCCACCTAGTGGGAGGCCTGCCCACGCTACGTCTTACAGCCCAAAATAAAAGCATAAATTACAAAAATAGCCTATCATTTCATCAACATTCTACAGACATTTCATTCAACAACATAGGTACCTAATATGACCACAGTGATACGTTTTTGATGAAGAGCAGTGGCGGCCATTATCTTTACCTATACTGGGGTAGACATCAATAAAAACCTATTTACGTACTAAATTGCGTAATTGTCTTAATACCTGGATATCATGCTTTTGATAAATGATAACAAATTAAGCCTAATTATAAAAAAAGTAATTACGTTACAGCTGTCCTTGCCCTTGGTCCCAGCGCAGAACACAGAGTCGTGCAGGTACTTAGGATGGTAGTAGAACGAGCAGTTGTATCTTGTTACTAAAGGGACGCAGACCTTCTGAAGTCTACTCGCCCTTTTAGTCTGTGAACGAAAGAAATTTCGATTTCCAAGAAAAAAAAAAAACTATTTTTCCTTGAGAAAATCGACTAGCTGAGTTTTACTTAAAGTATTCAACAGGGGTTTCTAAGGGTTAACCAATGACTCACTGCTCACAGCAGTCGTCCAGTCTTACCTACCTACCTAGTCTTACCTTCTAACCCTAGTGTCATGTTTAGGACAAGAAATATGTATAAAAATTCCAACCATACCTTTGAAATGTACCCATAGCCTGTCACAAGGCAGTTCATGCCTTCTGACATCTTAAGTCTTATTTCATATGAGTGAATCCTAATTGGCTTCACTCGAACCGATAAGAAAAAGGGAGTCATCACCTGCAGCATAAAAATTATCATCACCATTTCAGGCATAGGACGTCCACTGCTGAACATAGGCCTCCCCCAATAATTTCCATATTGACCGGTTGGTAGTGGTCAGCGTTCAGCACCTTCCTGCTACCTCTATGATGTCGTAGGTCTACCGTGTGGGTGGATACGCTATTAAGTTTTGGTAACAGACGTTAATTTACAACAAAAATGTATGATAGAGTCGATGTGATACTGTACTACTTCAATTCATCATTATCATAATTGAGATACTAATAACAATTGTATTCTTTTTAGCCTAGATTGCGTTTTAGCCCATTTATAAATTAATAGAGTCTGGACAAACTTCAAGAGGATTTAAGACACTACTAGGTATAAAAAAAAATGTAACGACTAAATTATATTATGTAATAAATAAATAATATAAAAAAATACAATCTATAATAATAATTGTGGTTAAATTAAATTTAAAGTTATCAGTTCGAATTATACAACATTACCTGTAAATCTTATAACTTCTTGCGTGAGCACATGTTATACAGGAATGTTAATAAAATTATTTTTGTTTACAAGGAAACAACTAATAAAAATATAACACGAATTAGCACAAGAAAGTAAAACCAGCCGCATGAAACAGATTTTTTATCGTCTACCAAAAAACACTAAGTAACAATTACACACTTATTTGTAGTGCAAATTAATGATTCTTATAAAACTGTCTTTTTTAACTTAATTCACATTACATTAATATTTACATAGTTTAACGTTGGGTTCCGGCGGAAAAACGGTTTTTCGTGATACGTCAGTAATTCATCAAGTGTTCAAGCAAGCGACTCGATATAGGTAAGTAGATAGATTAATTGCTTAATTTGAACTGAATACCTACTTAATGGACCCTTTTTTTGTTCCGTAACTCAATTGAAATAGAAACGGAAGATTGATTGAGCGTCAATAAAATATGCCAATGAGGGCTATCGTTTTTATACTTAACAGTTGGCACCCCTGGCGATTGACAGGACCTTACTCTACAGTGGCGCCATCTTGATGAGTGCAAATGCGATAGTCCTCCTACCACTTTAGCGCTCACAAGTTGGCGCCACTGTCTTCGCTACTAGCAAGTGACAGGACCTTACTCTACAGTGGCGCTAACTGGTGAGCGCTAAAACGATAGCCCTCATTAGAAGCGACGATATCACGATAGCCGACCGGTGAATGTGTCGGACAGGGGGCGTAGTGTGAGTTTACTTCAATCAAACGCATTCGATATCGACTGCGTAAAAAAGTGACATTAATTGTATGACGGATTGTACAGCGTTCCTAGCGGAAACTTTCAAGAACTAATATCTTCATATATTTTTTAACGCAATGCGTTTGACGTAAACTCACACTACGCCCACTGGCCGACTCGTGACCCGAGGAACGCGGGTTCGATCCTCGCTGTCGCTCGTAACACAAGCATATTTTTAGCTTACCACGAAGGCTTTTTAGTAATTTGTAACAAATTGCGAGTATGGGTGGATTTTTGTTAGCTTTTCACGTAAAAACTATTTCCGATGAACCTGAACCGTTCACTTTATATTATTTCTGCATCGATTTTTTAAATTTCTGTAACAGACCGTTTATGCGAAAGCCGCGGACAAGAGCTAGTTTCATAGAGAACTGACCTCAAGGATAGCTAAATCATGCATATATGTACTGGGATCATAGTGTTTATGAGGGTAATAATGTTTGATCCGCCTCCAGTGCTCCCTCATCATCGTGTATAAGCTCGCGTCGGTTCTGGTCGAGCCAGCCACTGCTCGTATGTTGTTTTTGATTTTGGGAAAGCTAGAAAAGAGTTAACATAATTTTGGAATTACAGCTTAACTTTAGATAGAAGTGGTCAATAATAGAATTCACTTGACATTCTTAGCTCCTGATACCCTGTTTCTTAATGCAGTTTTGGGTTTATAATGACACAGGCAGACAGTAATAATAGTTAGTGTAGATAGATTGGAAGATAGCTGTTTTACCTGCAACCTTAGAAAGTTACACAGGTGACCACTTTTAGTTTCTAGGTGTTTTTAGCATAAGTTAATTCGCTACGTGAATCGATTTCGGAATTAAAACTTACAAGAAAGCGTTAATAGTAAATGTACTTACTCAGGCCCTACAAAACAATGCGCCGCTGTCATCACGAATTTTAAAGTTATCAAGGCACCGCCACAACCAGAGAACCAATACATGCCACCCAGTAAGCCTCTTCGCAATGAGATCTACAATAAAAACACACAAACAAACACAAAATTTAAAGCGTGTATGAAAGGCTTACTAACTGAATTCTGATAAACGTTCGACATTACGTTACTCCGCCATCGAATTGACACAAATGCTACTACGACAAAGGTGAAATAGTGGAACTTCCCTTGAAACAAACTTATGAATGTAAGTATGACGCTTTTGGCTAAAAGTGCCTCTGTAATCAGCTGATTTCCACAAGAAAAAATGGGCTACCACAAGGATCGATACTTGAACCAGGACTAAAAGAGTCGTTTGTGGTAATTAATCAATGTAAATAAATGCGTTGATGCTTCTATATAAAATACCTTAACATGCAGTCATATTATATTTTAACAGGTCACCTGATAGGGAACTGACTGGATTGCTACATCTGTACCACCATATATTCTTAGAGAACAGTGATCATTGAATATTCTTGCATTTTTGTTTTCGTTAATTATGTCCTGAAAGTGAACTATAAGTGATTAATACTTATATGGAATGATGAAAATACTATGTAATTATGTGTAAAATTTTGCACTGCGCCATTTAAAGTCTCAATTCTATAAGCTAGACAATAGATATGCACACAAATATTCGTGTACTATTTGGGACTCGAATCTGCGACCTCGGCGACGCGACGTAGTAGTACGGCACTACCAAGCCAGTAGGTCGCTGTGAATAATTATGATATTTGTTTGATAATGATTATTTTATGTTATTTGGAATATTTTGCAGTAAATGTTATCAGATAAACTTACTAAAAAGTCTAGAAGAACTTCTTTTTCTCCTTTTTGCTGTGTTAGGGATACCAATTGACTGCACGAATTTTGTAGAGTCAGCGACACAAAACTTAAAAATACTTTTATAACAACATTTATCATTAAGAGAGCTAGGTACTTGTATGAATATTATTGAATAATATGGAAAATATGACAAGTCAAGGTGAACCATGATCAATCTAATATTACTTTGGTGCCATGGTTATGAAAGTTTCAAAGACTTAGAAACCAAACTTTCAAAATGATTAGAATCACAACACGAGTGCGTATGTAATAATTATAAAATTAATGGATTTACATATTTCAATTTCATTATAACTTTGCTTTGACATGATATGATTTGTTGTTGATAGACTTTGACGTGATATTATGTCATCTAATGCTCTATCCAAAGATTATAAAATTCCTCTATCTTATGCTCTATCTCTCTATTCTCTCTCAATATTTAGATCTTTGATCATATTTTTCACTTTTGGCTTTTGGCACGATTTGGATTTTTAATATATTCTGTGACTTCTAACATTTCATGAGTCTATGGTTTCATGTTTATTTTGGAAGCCAACTTTAAGTTTATCGTAGATTTATACAAAGTTTAATAGTTTACCAGACGATTTATTATGATTTTTAGCTTGTGATGTTGTTTATAAGATATAACGTAGGTCCGGTTCTTACTTTGCTGTGCCTGTTCGAGGCATCTTGGAGTCAAATCTTGGAGTATCCAGTTTTCGTGAATCTGTCTGATCTGATCCCGCGGATAGTGAATGGCCAACCTGCTGCTTTAGGGGACATACCCTATCAGGTAATAGCGTTAGAGGTTCACTTAGGAGGTACCAACATGAGGTACACCGTACACCAGACCACAAAGCAAACTAAATAAAAGTGTAACAAGCCATCTAAACTAAAGTGCCTACATAGGCAAAGTAGGGCAAAGTTATTAGATAAGAAGGTAGTTACTTCCATTATTTGCATGATTATAAAATACTAGCTTTCCGCCCGCGGCTTCGCCCGCGTGGAATTTTGTCTGTCACAGAAAAACTTTATCGCGCGCGTCCCTGTTTCAAAAACCGGGATAAAAACTATCCTATGTTCTTTCCTGGGACTCAAACTATCTCTATGCCAAATTTCATCAAAATCGGCTGCGAGGTTTAAGCGGGAAAGCGTAACAGACAGACAGACAGACAGACAGAGTTACTTTCGCATTTATAATATTAGTTGGGATTAGTTGGGATGTAAATAAAATCGCCCAGCCCAGACCAATACATCATAATCAAGGCATTTGGTTTCTACTACAGGAGCACGACTTTACGACTTTTTTCTCTAATTTATCAGAGGCAAATGGATGATTTGGTCTACACCAGACAATCTCTACTCCACTATGCTATGGTGAATGTTATGCTTGATCTGGCTATGAGAATGAGTGTTCTTCTTCTTCTTATCGTGTCGACAGCAAACCTACAAAGTGTCAGCCCAAAACTCCGTTACAAGGGTGGCGTTGTCGGTAGCATTCATTAAATCTTCCTGCGTGCCGTTGTTTGGGCACTCAGGGCACAACACAACATCAGTGCTTCATCGACTGGGGAACAAAACCGCACCTGCTGTTATCATTGTTTTACTTTACGTTTTTTAGATAAGTTTCAAAATGCTTTTGAGACGAACGGCTGGAGCAAATAGATACTACAGCTTTTGTGGTGGAGCTATCATTAGCCGCAAGAAGTTGCTGACTGCTGCCCACTGCTTTGAAGCCAAACAATCTGCTTGCTGTACCTCTACAATGTAATTGTAATTTACAATTTCTATTGTCTTGTAGAATAAATAATGCCATGCAGTTTCCCCCTTGTTAATAAAAGTTACATCTTGGCAAACCCGACTGCGTAAACTGAAAAACAGTAACTGCTTCATAAATGAACTGAAAAGATAAAAACCATACAACATAGACATAGTTTTAGTTAAATAAAATTATGTAGTGTACTCGTATGTATAGTGAGCCACAGTTCCAACTACCTAGTTCCGTTTTTTCTCTCGCTCTCATCTAATAGTGATTCTTTGCGATAGAACGAGACGACCGGAAATGGGTAGCTGCAACCACGGTAATACTACTGCAACTGTGGCCGATAGTATTTGATGATTTGATTTTTAGTAGGCGCGCACACCGTTGATTTTAGTTGGCCAATAGTTGTGCCCGATTTTAAATTGTATGAAGAATCGGCCAAATCGAATCGGCGTAGTGTGCGCACTCCCATACATGCCCATACTGATTAATTGCCCGACTAAACTATCGGCCGACGAAAAATCAACGGTATGCGCCTACTCTTACATGACCGGACGAACTAAAGGTAATTAATTAATATTTTTTCACACAGCACACAAACTGGCAAGGCAGTGTCGAAATATTTCGCGGTGGCCGGTAGCCTGAAAAACATTGAAGTATTCCGCGGGGCGAACCCAAAAGAAGGCGGGCAGTGGAGACGGCTTGAGAAGGTCGTTTACCCCAGCTCGTACAAGTTTCCCAAAGGTGACATCGCCGTGGTGGTAGGTAAATCTTTTATGAAATTAAAACTACATTATTGTATAAAAAATCTTCATAATGAACCAGTTTTACGGTATATGCCCACCGTGCGTTTCACGCAAACGCGCGACCACAGCGCGACCTTAGCGAGTCGACGGTGCCTGAAATAAACGGCCATTATACTTTATAGCTTAAAAAGGATTAGATAAGGCTTCTTCGTTTGAAAGTCATCTAATATAAAAAAAACGGTTTGAAAAATTCTTTCACCATTAGAATTAAAAAAAAATCTGCTGAACATAATAAAAAAAACTTCGTTAAATTAGGTATTTCCTATTTTAACGAACTTATTTCCTCCGCCATTTTCCGCAATTTGGCACTTCACGTTACACATTAGTTTATAGTTAAACCATAGATGACTAATAAGTTAAGGTAATATTAAGTTGAAAATAGTCTGCCTCAGTTAAATATACCTACGTAGGTAGCTATGGGCCACAGTTCCAACTACCCATTTCCGGTCAGGTCGTCTCGTTTAATCGCAAGGAATCGCCATTGATGAAAGCGAGAGAAATAAATTGATATGGGTAGCTGGAACTGGAACCGTAGCCCACTGTAGTGTCTAGTATTTTAATTTAAGGCCCGGATTCCACGAAGACGGAGCGGAGCAGAGAAATGTTTTGAACAACCAATCAGATGTCATTCAGATTGAATGAAATTGACAGCATGAAATGAGGGTTTTCGCGTATGAAAAATCCGCCAGATGGCAATACGTAGACGCGAGGTCCAAATGCTGCATGATTGGTTATTTTTGACATGATATTGACAGATATGTCAAAATCCACCAATCACGCAGCAGTCAGACCCCACCCACATCCACGTCCCGCCATCTAGCGTATCTTTCATACGCGAAAACCCTCATTGATTGGTCCATAATCAAACGTTTCATTACATTTTCTCCCGCTCCGCCCTGGTGGAAACTCGACCTTAGAGGGTATTTTAATTTTCAGTTTGTGAAGAACAATTTTAGATTCAATGACAATGTAAAACCAGTCTCTTACGAAAGACGGTTCAGAGACTACAAGGGATCATGCATGATGTCAGGATTTGGATTCGTAGACAGAAAAGTTAGTGATGCTTTTTCATCATCTAAAAGAGTCTTCTACATCCAATAGTTTAGTCCCACCCCAAACTTATGTTTTACCATTAACTGCTGCTGGACAAAGGACTCCCTCAAGGATTTCCACAACGACATTTTACCTATGGTAAATACCACCAATATTGGTATAATTTGAAAGCCTAGTTCTAAGCTTATCATTAGAGGAAAGGTTGGTACCCCAAAAATGTGTCTTTAGAAGGATCCAGTGAATTCCAGTGTCTCTTCTTAAAGCGACAGGTAGACGCTCCAGCCAACTTTTATGGTTATTAAATCGCTATCCATCTGTTAAAGATGTACTCTTTGAGAGATCATTATGTATTTGGTTTTGTAACCACAAAAAAGGTGAGGGGTCACATTGGCTTTTTCCAAGTCACTTTTATGGTACCTGTTAATCGTTTATTAAGAAATTAAATGTGTTTCTTTAAGTTTATTTATTGAACTTTCAAATAACACCTATACNACCAATAGTGATGAAGGACCATGTTTGTGTTAGAAGAAAATTTTCAAAGTAATTGTCGCGGGAGGTGCGATTTTTTTGACGCCGAATGTATATTGCTTTCTTTTTGGTAAAATAGCTTAATGTAATGGCATTGTAATTTATTTTACAGAATACCAAAATGTCAGATCAGTTGTTGTACGCCGAACTACCGTTAATGACATCCTTTTGGTGTAACAAAAACCACAATATGAATATGAGAAAACATATTTGTACTTCAAGCGAAATATCGGACACTGCTAAAGCAAGTTCATATTTATGTTATTAATTTATTTAACATTGCTGCCTCAAAGTTACTTTTAGTGAGGTGCTATTGGACCCTATCTATAGTGTTTACTAGCTTTCCGCCCCCGGTTTCGCCCGCGTGGACTCCGAAAAACCCAAATATTTTACGGAACCCTATTTTATTCCAAAATAAAATATAGCCTATGTTATTCGTGGATAATGTAGCTTTCGAATGGTGAAAGATTTTTTAAAAACGGTCCAGTAGTTTTTGAGCCTATTCATTACAACCAAACAAACAAAGTTTTCCTCTTACAATATTAGTGTAGATAAGGTCCAATAAAGATAAACTTGGCCTTCACTAGTGGATTTCATTGGCGATCAAGCTGTAGATTCTGACTGTACAGGCGGTGCAGCGATGGGAACGACTCGTAGTCCCTCTTAGATTGCTCAAAGGTGCAAAGTACTACGCCAAATCTACGCCATGAAAGGCTTTATTTCGAAATCGTTTCGCTTCATGAAGCGATTTCTGGATAAAAACTGCAACAAATTATACTCTAGGGGCATTATTGACTGTATCTTTCTGATTTGCGTTCCAGTTTCCGGAAAATAAGTAGGTGTCAAATTGAAAAAATAAGTTTTACTAACCCTTTTTTATTTAATTTCAGGGTGATTCCGGCGGACCTTTAGTTTGTTCTTTCCCCAATCAAAACGAATCTAAAGTATTAGTAGGCGTCCTGAATGGAAAACTCCTTTATAATACCAAAAGATTGGCGGGCGGTACTATCTTCAGTAGAGTCTCAGCCTATTCTAAATTGATACGCAAAAGCAAAGCATGTAGTTACAATATTGTAAATTTTTATTATTATATTCTTTTGGTAATAATATTATACTATTTACAATAATATTGTGTTTTCATATTACATCTTGACTTAGGTCCGGTTTCCACCAAAGTGACCAAAGTCTCTATGACTAGGGTTGCCAGGTCCATAAACACAAAAGCCGGACTCAGTGTTTAATTTGGCCGGACATACCTTGTAACATCCTTGTAACTATCAAGTACCTATCATCTTATCGGTAGCCCAACATCCTAACTTCCTATGCCCAAGTGTGCTCGATATTATTCTGTGACTCGACTTTCGCCTGGCGCGGCAGCCACTTAAAAAAAGCCTAACAAAAGCCGGACAGGCCGGACAAGACAATATTTGGCCGGATAAGACTGTAAAAAACCAAACATGTCCGGCTATCTATGACCAAGTGGAGAAATGGTCGGCCGTCAAATTTTTGTATAGAATTTGACAGCGGCGGCTTCGCGGCTCAGACCGGAGCCAGCGGAGCTGAGCGGAGAAATGGAAATAATGAAATCTGATTGGTTATTCAAAACACTTCTCTGCTCCGCTTCGCCTTGGTGGAAACCGGGCCTTAGCTTTGCAAACAATTTGTAAAGTTATCTGTGGTTTCTGTCTGTTTCTCGAGCCGTAAAACTTCATATAAAAAATATATTTATGTCTGTCATTGTGTCTGGGTCATGATTTTATTTTGGAAGCAGGCAACAACAAATTGCACGAAGGATTGCACTCGAAGAATTCATAAATAGATATAGATTTAGATTTATTAGCGTAGTTCTTTTTTCCATGTTTCTAAGTAGTAACGTAGGTATGGTTCTACTTTTGATGTGCCTGCTCAAGGCGAGCTGGGCTCAAATCCTGGAGCAGCCCGTGTTCGTGAATGTGTCTGATTTGGTCCCGCGGATCATCAATGGAAAACCTGCTGCTTTAGGGGATATACCCTATCAGGTAACAGCGTAAAGGCTGATTGCGTATTTTGACCAATATACTTAAGTTGCTGTAGCTGTTATTTTCTCAATGGTTGAACGAATTATTACTATCCTTAAAAATATCTTATTTGGAAGTTCCTATTATAGGCCGTTGTCTGTTGCCATCATGAATGCTCTCCTTGGTTTGACCGTGGTCCTCTATATTGCTTTAAGACCTTTGGCACATAGGATTAACTTCTCGCAGAATTGCCAAACCTAAGTGGTAGCTCATAGAACTGATGGCCGTTGGGGCTGAGAAACGTAGGCTGGATGCAGGCTGCGTTGTGGAGATTTTTGGAAGTCATTTGGTTGAAATGTAGATTTAATTTCTAGATAAGTTTCAAAAGACTGCAGAAACGCGATAAAAGTAAAAATATGTATAGCAGTTTTTGTGGCGGTGCTATAATCGGGACGAAGAAACTGCTAACTGCGGCCCATTGCTTTAAATCGGATGAATCTAATTGTTTTTCTACTTATATGTAAGTATTGAAATAAAATAATTTAAGCCATGACAAACTTATTTTATAACTCGTACTTAAATAGGATTTTTTTTATTAAATCTACTAATAAAAAAACAGAGCATGCATTATACATTATTATTGAACACTTCCTATTTCTTTGACAAGGAATTTAAATTTGTTTAAATAAAAATAATATAATATTTACAATCACAAATCTGGAAAGTAACTCAAATAGGCAGATGTAATTAAAAAATATTATAGGCGAGCAGCCCTATACCATACTTACGTATACGCATTTTCATACGTATACGTATAATTCTGCATCGATCTATTTTTTTCTTTTCTTCAGTGTGCAGTCTGGCAAAACGGTGGAGAAATATTTCGCAGTGGCGGGGACTCTCAAAAACGAAGAGGCTTACACGGGGGACGATACATCGGGAGGCGCACAGTGGAGGCGCCTCAAAGCGGTTACTTATCTCGGCTCGTACAAGTTTCCCAAAGATGACATCGCTGTTGTGGTAGGTACATCTTTTTGTAAACATTTTATCTGTGAAATGCATAGACAACGGCACATTAAGCTAAACACTGTAGCATCTTATGTATACTTATGTAATAGGTACACTTTTGCTTCAAAAATGTATCCTAGTCTGAAGCGCTGGCACAGCATGCGCAATATTTTATGTATTTCATAATTTACCTACTTTTTCCCATTCACTTCTTTATCGAATCCAACCCTTCACAATTCGCCATTCCATTCGAAAGAAGCAATAAGTATACTTCATCATCATGCAGACTGCAATACAATGGAATGTGGGCTCTGAATGTTTGAATATTTAATTTTATCCTTTACACATCAAGAAAAGGGACGGGGACATAATTTTAGAATTAACTCGTAGATCCAACTTTTTTTCCTATACCACTATGAAAGATGGCTAATCCTAAACGTCTGGCTAATTTTGATTTTCAGAGTGTGAAAGAACCTTTTTCGTACACTACAAACGTAAAGTCAATCGCCTACGCCAGACGTTACATGGACTACCGGGGGTCATGTCTGATGTCGGGCTATGGGCGGATCAGCGAAAGCGTATGTGATTAAATGTTATTTTGAAAACATAGGCTTCTTGTACACGCTAAGAAATTTCACCGTGTCTGCCGCAGACGAGACAAGAATTTCGTCGGATCTAGCTACGAAAATTTGTCAAACTGCGCGCGCGTCCGCCGCAAGAATTATTTCTTGTTCAGCGCCGGAGCAATGTACACGGTTCGTGTGTAGAAATGACACGAATTCTTGTGTAGGCCAGGCGATTTTTCTTAGCGTGTACAAACGGCATTAAAATTCAAAAATCTCACACATTTGTCAGTTTGCTAGCCAAAATTGAGCTGAATTTATTTTTATCCGACTTTGCAACGCAAGGAGGGTCATGTGTTTACCATTCTAGTAGATAAATGTATGTTTTCTCCTTGTGGCACGCTAGAGACTAAGTGCATGCCAATAATGACTTGCTTAGGGCCGCTTTCTACCAAGACGGGGAGGAGTGGAGACGAGAGACGAGTTTTGAATAACCCATCAGATTTCGTTATTTCCACATCTCCTCTTCACTCCGCTTCGGTGGAAATAACCAACCAGCTTCGCCGCACATTTCTTGCCTTATCTCGTATCTACCTACCTACCTATCTCTTGTCTCGTATCCGCTTTTATGGAAACTGGGCCTTAGATTTTTTTTTTATCTGTGTGGTACAGGAAAGATCAAAAGAGTTGCTGTACGCACATTTACCGCTACTGACGTCTTATTGGTGCAACAGAAGACACAATAAGAATATGAGAAGACATATCTGTACTTCGGGAGAAGTGTCGGATACTGCAAAAGTATGTTTAATTTTATGATTGGTTCGTTCGTTTCAGCCAAATGACATCCACTGCTGGACAAAGGCCTTCCCCAAGGATTTCCACAATGACCGGTCCTGCGCTGCCCGCATCACTATTTGTAAGTACAGTCAGCGTCAAATAGTTCGTGATATCCAAAGTGGCCAAAAAGTTGACAACACAATAGATACCTTATTCCAATAAAATTATAACAAAGACGTGTTGTGAACTTTTTTTTGTGGCATTAGTGCCTATTATATTAGTATAGGACAGTGTTTTAGTTACTTCGGTTTCAATGAGGTAAAATAAAAAAACCTTTTTAATTTCAGGGTGATTCCGGCGGACCTCTTGTTTGTACCATCGTTGGCCCAAACGGAACCAACTCTAATATGTTAGTAGGGGTCTTAAACGGCAAAATGTTCGGCCGTAGAAGGAGACACGGTGGCACTATCTTCACTAGGGTCTCAGCCTATACGAGATTAATACGGAATAGAGCGAGCTCCAATGTTATATGCTTTTATGTTTATGTTTTTGTATTAATAATATATAGCCTACGATATTTTGTTTCTTTTTGTATTCATCATCATTTCAGCCATAGGACGTCCACTTGTGAACATAGGCCTCCCCCAATGATTTACACATACACTTTTGTATAGTACTGTTTTACATAGTACATTCATTTTGAATTGGTATCTACATAGTTGCACAACCAAGCCAAGTGCGAGTTGGACTCGTAAACGAAGAGTTCTGTACCATTTAAACTTTAAACTTAAATAATTAGGCAACACCTATCTGAGCTCATCTCTGTTATGCTTCAACTGCATCAAAGCGTGCAGTGGGTCTAGACAAAGTGCAAATTATAATCGCAAACCAGTCGAAAAGTGGTCGAAAAGCCCCTTTTTTTGTATGGAGTTTTGACGGATTCGATTTTCGATTCGATCAAAAAGTGCGTTTTGTCTAGGGAGGCAGATCGCCATCGCCGGCGCGATCGTAGGCCAATGATAGGTCAAGTGTATAGATGACTCACGCTGAACTGTCCCACCAAACTCAATGACAGAGGGGCGCTACCATCGTTCAANTATTCATCATCATCATCATCATTTCAGCCATAGGACGTCCACTGCTGAACATAGGTCTCCCCCAATGATTTTCACATACACATTTTGTATTAAATACCTACATAGGTACATTCATTTTGAATTGGTAGATACTAGTTGCACGCCCAAGCCAAGTGCGAGTTGGACTCGTAAACGAAGACTTCTGTACCATTTAAACTTAGGTAGTTAACCTATCTGAACTCATCTCTAGCATCTCTAGGCCAATGACAGGTCAAGTGTACTGATGACAGTACGTGACTGTACTGTACTGTGCTGATGACAGGTCATTGGCCTGTGATCGCACCGGCGATGGCGATCTGTGGGTCTAGACAAAGTGCCATTATAATCGCAAACCAGTCGAAAAGTGGTCGAAAAGCCCCTTTTTTGTATGGAATTTGACGGATTCGATTTTCGATTCGATCAAAAAGTGCGTTTTGTCTAGGGGGGCTGCACGTGTTAGTGTGATTGAAGCTTTAGTTTATGTTTGGGCTAGATTTTGCTAGATTCCGCTCTCACTCAGCGCTGCAGCGGCACGGACTCAGTGTAGTAGTGACAAAAAAAGTCACGGCGACAAAAGTCACCGGTTAGTGTCCGTGACTCCCACTCGGCATGGGGCACACTGAAAACCAGCGTCGCGTGGCCTTCCTCACCGGGAGCCACGGCATAGTCGGCATATGCTGAGTGGCACTGTTCAGTTTACTTTCTCTTCAAATGTATGTTTTATGTGTTACCTCTGTCTTGTTTGCTTTTTTTTATTTATCTCTTTTGTCTTTTGTGATGTCCATTGCAATAAATGTTTCTTTCTTTCTTTCACCCGTGCGCGCGAGCCCTAACTTTGAATATCCTTGCGTGTTTATGGACTTGTCATGTTTTGTTATAGTTCCAAAATACTGGACTGTCCTGTCGATGACATTGACAGTGGGGCGCCACCGTCAATACCGGATCGCTGGTTCAGATTTTTGCCATGTTGGAAACCATACAGTTGAACGATGGTAGCGCCCCCCTGTCATTGAGTTTGGCGGGACAGTTCAGCGTGGGTCATCTATAAATTCGAGTTGTTTTTGTCATGATTTTCAATAGTATTTTGGCTTTCGTTTTAAATTTATTGAGTGTTGTCGCAGTTTTTTCCCAGTATATCATTGAGCCGGTATATGTTAATGAGTCGGCGTTGGTACCGCGAGTAGTAAACGGCTATGTGGCTGCTTTGGGGGATGTGCCCTATCAGGTATTTTATTATCTTCTTTTTATAAATGAAGACTTCTCTGGCTTGTCTGCACTTAATTATCAAGGTAATCTGCCTCTACCATTTTACCATACAGTACCTCTAGTCGAGAGGGACTGAGATCTACCAGTAGGTCGGACCTTAAGGTCGAAAGATTTGCCGACCGTTTTGTGTATAATAGTGGTTCGTAACGAACATTTATATGCTGAGGTCGTGGTTTCGATTCCCGCACAGTGGAAACATTTGTGTGCAAGAACATATTTGTTTGTATTGGTCTGCTGGGTGTTGTTTATTTATATTCATTTGCTTTCTCTATTAAATTTCTTTACTGATGATAGGTACCTAATGTCCTTCCAGGTTAGTTTTAAAGCGATCGCTACCCGTGTGTCATACTACCATACCTTCTGTGGCGGAGTCATCATTGGTCGTACTAAGCTGGTGACCGCAGCCCATTGCTTTGAGGCCAGGAACTCTGAATCCTCTGGTGAATCTATGTAAGATATTGAAAATTGAATTTAAGCAGCAATAGCTCCACTTACAGGCGTGAGGGAGGATTTTTCATGAGAAACAGACCATTCAATTTTGGGCGTAAACATAATTGTTTTTGTGCATTGGGACCATTTTACACAGTACTCGAGTAAAACACTGATTGAAAAAAAATAAAAACGAAAAAAAATGTAAAGCACTGTTTTCAACTACCGACTCGGTGACGACAATTTGTAATTAACCATCGTGTTCCTTCCACGTTAGTCCATAAGACAAAGGAATTTTCTAATGCACACTGGTCGTGCCCGGTTTTTGGTTATTCTACCACAATTTCTGTCATAAGCAGATTGAATAGATCGTCTATCCATCTTTCTAAGTGATAACCAACAATGCGCACACGGTGTCCATTCAGGAACTCCTTAAACGTAGTGTTAACTTCATATAAAGTTTTCATATTACAGCGTACTAAGAAGTGAGGAAGTAATGAATAAGTTGGCTGTGGCCGGTACTTTGCTAAATGGGGAAATATACCAAGCTGAAGACAAGCCAACGGGCGCACAGTGGAGAAAAATAAGCACAGTCTCATATCCTAGCAGCTACAGGTTTCCAAGCAACGACATTGCTATTGTGGTACACTATTAATCTGGTTATTTATTTAGTTTATTTGTGGAAAAACCATAGGTGACCTTTACCTGATCTCTCTGGAAAGATATGATAATGATGATGAACTGTAACTTGGAATGTTTTAGATCACATTACTGCCATTTAACTTTAACGAGCACATCGCTCCAATCTCTTACGCTAGAAGCTTTGAGGACTACAGAGGAGAGTGCTTGGTTTCTGGGTACGGACGAAGATCTAAAAAGAAGAAGGTAATTTGAGTTGTTTATGTATCTAACAAGACCTTAATATCAATCTTATTCGTATGCATCTACCTATGTTCCATATTATTATGTCACAGCTTACTTCAGACAAGTTGTTGCTTGCCACCTTAGAAGTGTTGCCACTTTATTGGTGCACGAAGATGCATCGTAAGAATATGTCGAGTTTCATCTGCACATCAGACAAAATTTCAGACGTTGCGCAGGTAAATAGTAGCCAAGAACGCGTATACGGTCTATATTCTCTACCTGGGTGATCTAATCCAGGTGATCAAAGTGAACTACACACTTTAGTGTCCTTTGATCACCCATTGTTATAGTAGTCCATTTTGATCACCTAGGTGATCTTATCCATGGGTGATCAAAGGACATCAAATGTCGCTTGGAGTCCACTGATCACCTGGGTGATTTAATCCAGGTGATCAAAGTGGAACATGCTACAGTAGCAACAAAGATAATGCAGCAAAAGCATTTGGCTGACTCTCGAATATTTTAAGTACACACGGCCACACTGTTAACTATCAATTTCCGTTTTTGCTCTCGCTCTCATCAAATGGTGATTCTTTGCGATAGAACGAGACGACATGACAGGCAATGGATAGTTATAGTTCCAAAATACTGGACTGTCCTGTCGATGACATTGACAGTGGGGCCCCACCGTCAATACCGGATCGCTGGTTCAGATTTTTGCCATGTTGGAAACCGTATAGTTGAACGATGGTAGCGCCCCCCTGTCATTGAGTTTGGTGGGACAGTTCAGCGTGGGTCGTCTTTAACACTGTTGCCGATGGTACATTAGTACAGTTTAATCTTTTACAGTTGGAACTTTCTCCGCCTCTAATCGCACCGCTTTTTGTATGCTTACAAATCTAATTTTCAGGGCGATTCAGGCGGCCCGTTAGTTTGTTCCGGTACCAAAGAACACGAAGAAGGTTCCAAGGGCATCCTGGTCGGCATCGTCAGCGGCCACAGTAGGGCCGGCTCATTCTTCACCAGGGTCTCCTCTTATGCGCAGTATATCGGACCAAATGAAGTCAACAGCGGTCAAACACTAAAATGTTATTGTTACCAAATTATTTTATTACATTACGGATTTTCCATACTTTACTTTGTTTTTCTTTTTCCACTATTTTAAAGAACCCAATGCAAGCTTTTATTAATATTTAACAAGTAATAACACACAATAGCATGTTTTGTTCAGAAGTTTGTTTACTTGCGTCCTACATAAAACTTATAGAAATACTAAGATTTAGATTAAGGTTCTTATAAACGACGCTTATCAGACGGATAGGGTTATTCTGATACCAGCACTCCCACTACTGCAGAATTTCAGAAACCTAGACCTAGCCTAGGCTATGCTTGTAGAAATAAATAACCTCTTTGGTAGAGGTACTCAGCGAAGATCTAAAACTACCACAGATTAAGAATATTCATTTGGCATTTTGTATTTGTCCCTTTTCTATATAAATCTTGTCAAAACAAATAACATTTACAAGTATTTGCATTAATTCTTCAACAAAATACAAGGAAACCTTATATTAAGCTAAAATACCAATAAACGAGCCATGCCTGTCCTAATCGTACCATTCATAGATTAACATTGTGATAAACATATTATTTGAAGCACAAGTTTTTCATAGTTTTTGAAAATGTTTATTACTTATTGGTATCTTGCTCTTTTCATGGGCATATTTAGGGAATATTTGTGCCAAATCATGGTAAAGCCGGTATTCGTGAATGAGTCTTCCTTGATACCACGGATTGTGAATGGCTACCCTGCTGCACTTGGAGATATACCCTATCAGTTAAGTTAAGCGTTTATTGTTACAGACTGCTATTAAAGTAGGTAGGTATAAGTACCTAAATGACATAGAGATTCACATAGATTTGTGCTCAAAATACCAAAGCATAGTAAGAAGTAGTAGCAAAATGTTATTAAATTTTATCCTTCATAAGTCTATTAACAATCTACTGCTGGAGATGCTTCTCACGCGCTATTTTACCTAGTCGCATATTAGAGGAAAGCTTGTACCAAGCTTGTAAACGCTAAAAAAATCGCCGGACCTATGCAAGAATTCGTGTCGTTTATACACACGAACATACACTGCAGACCAAGAAATAATTCTTGTCTGCGCTAGACATGACACGCAGCGGACGCGAAGTGTGACAAATTTTCATAGCTAGATCCGACGAAATTCTTGTCTCGTCTGCGGCAGACACGGTGAAATTTCTTAGCGTGTACAAGAAGCCGACATCTATGTTCAGTAGTGAATTCCTACTAATACTGGCTATACTTGCTCTATAGGTTCGGCATACTAACATAAGGCTTAAATAAAATAATCTCGTTGTTTCAGGTAGGCTTCAAACAACGGTACAGCCGTCACAGCAAAGTGTACGACACATTTTGCGGCGGTAGTATCATTTCCCCTTCAAAGTTGGTCTCCGCAGCCCACTGCTTTGACCACAATAAAAAATCGGGTTGTTTCACTGAAACTATGTAAGCAAGGATATTTTATTAATAGTAGCACTAGTCTCCACTAAAGGAGCACCCCCTCTCTAATTTCGTTTTAACCAAATGACGTCCACTACTGGACAAAGGCTTTTACTAAGGATATGCCCAACGACCGGTCCTGCGTTGCTCGCATTCAGGCTCTTCCCGCAACTTTCACCAGCCGGGCTAGGATACGCGCCGTGATATACTTTATCGACGTCAAAATGCAAGGACAAAATCGATAAAATGGCGTGATAACCGCTTATCGCGGCGCGCATCCTAGGTCTACTGGATCTTGACTAGGCAAATGGAGAATTTGACGTGTGTACAGTTTACTTTGCTAAGATGTAATTTGCAAGCTTAGTCAATAAATAGTGGCATATCACTTATATTATCAAATATTTTTGCCATTTAGAATATTAAGCACCAAAGAAGTGGGGGTATATTTTGCTGTGGCGGGTACCCTCGTCAGTAAAGAGAGATACCGACCTCAAGACAATCCCTCAGGCGCACAGTGGAGAAGGCTAAAAAACGTTATCTACCCTTCAGGCTACGATTTTCCAGAACATGACGTTGCAGTTGTGGTAACTTTTTTTTCAAAATAATTTGCAGATAATTTACTTTTAAGTTCACCCTTAAAAAGTATCAAGAATGTTTTGTCGTCAAAAGTTAGTCCGGCTTAACATTATTGATTATTATTTTTTCAGACGACGTTACAGCCATTTGTTTTCAACGCGCACATCGCCCCGATTCCGTTTGCCAAGCGCTGGCGCGACTACCGGGGAGAATGTGTGGCTTCAGGCTTTGGACTGATAAGTCATATACCTGAGGTTTGCCATTTTGTTCATAAATCTCATTTACCATCATTTTAGTCTGTAGGTGTACCTACACAGCTTAACTAACCTAACTTGGACGAAAGCCAAGGGGAATCTCACCCACTTTTTCATCCAGCTACTGCTAGCTATTTTCTTTACATCCCAATGTACCGACTGTAAAAATTCCATCATGTAAGTACTATATACCCAATAGACCCGATAGAGTAGGAGGACGTAAGATAATTATGTGCGATCGACAATCACGTATCATACTATAAATTACTTATTTTTTAAATCATGCATCGCCTGTATAGCGCTTATAAATTTTTTCAGATAGATTCTTCAAAGTTAATGATAGCTAAGTTGGAGTTGGTACCAAGTTATTGGTGTAGCAAGAAATTAAGCGCGGACATGAAGACGTTCGTCTGCACTTCAGGAGTAAAGACGGATGTTGGGAAGGTGTGTATCATCATTACCATCGCACTTAAGGCTTCTTGTACACGCTAAGAATTTTCACCGTGTCTGGCGCAGACAAGACAAGAATTTCTTCGGACCTAGCTACGAAAAGTCACCCAGTGCGTGTCCGCCGCGTATCATGTCTAGCGAAGACAAGAATTATTTCTTGGTCAGCGCCGGAGCAATGTACACGGTTCGTGTGTAGAAACGACACGAACTCTTGCGTAGGCCCTGTGACTTTTCTTAGCGTGTGTACACGCGGCCTAAGTGTTATTTATTTGTTTTATTGTCAAATATGCTGATTGATTCCTTTCCCAAGATGGGGTAAAAAACTAAATAAATAAACTTTATTTCAGGGTGATTCAGGCGGCCCGTTAGTGTGTGCTGGTACTGGAGAGAAATCTGAAGGACCGAATGGCATTTTGGTAGGCATTGCTTGTGCAAATATCTTGAAAAGAAGTATCGGCGGCTCCATCTTCACTAGAACATCTACTTACACACGTTTTATAGACAAAAATGAAGCAAATAGTTCTCCGTTCACGTTTTTTTATTATTATTTTATTATATTTTTTCATTGTTTACATTATTTGTGTATTTTGTTTCTACCGTGTACGTAAAAGTAATAAGAAAGAAATAGGGAAGATTTTATAATTAACAATTTGTGTTCCGATCGTATATTTTTCCTTGTCAAAGGAAAGTTCAGCAGAAAATAGTTCTCGTGTAAGTCACCTTTAGATTTTTCTGAAAGCCTCTTGATTTGCTGGACAGCAAAATTATTTCTTGACTAAATAAAAAGAGAATTAATAAATACACAATTTAATGAGCAAACAAAACAACATTAACACATTATGGACCTCTACATTCGTGTGAGCTTCGTCGGTGACCCATTTGTGGAACAGCCCCACTTTGTGGTGCAGAGTGGGGAGCTTCGTGTAGATGAGTGACGTCACGCCGACCAGCAGGCCTTGCTCCTCATTCACTTCTTGGGGGTCGCCGGTTCCGTGACAAATTAGACCGCCACCTTCGGACTCCTGAATAGGTTATCAAGTTCAAAACTCTATAAAGCCAATGTGGGCACAGAAGAATGAATCGGAAAAAGAAATTTTGTTTAGTCGGATGAATTATCACAAATAAAAACGAGGGAGGGAAACCCTGTTTCCTCGTGATCCTACTAATATGTTCTACTAGTAGGACCACCAGGAAGTCTAGTTTCTCGTAGTCCTATTATTGTTAAAATGTTAATCTACTTTTACTAGTAGGACCACCAGGAAGTCTACCATACACGAGATAAATTAGTAGGTCAACGAGGAAACGGGAAAAACCCTTGCGAAACTAATTTCAACAAAAATATCATCGATGATGGTCATCATAGAAGGTTGTCAATAAATTAATATTAGGAATTAGTAATACTTACAATAGAGTCTAACAGCAACTTGCTTGTATCGGTACCTGTGCAGAAGTAAAGTCTGCAACTCCTGAGGAGAGTCCTCTCGCAATCGAACCGCTTTATCATCCTGAACTCCTCCGAGAACAAGTTCTTGGATGTGGACCAACTCTGCGGCGTTTAGAACCAATATTTAAGGCCAAGGCTACACGGCTACACCAATACGACAATAGTGGAAAAGTTGAGTAGGCCTAGTACGCTTGAAAAACAGCTTTGTAATTTACGCTGGGAATTTTCAGTTTAATAAGGTCATTCCGGCTTTTACCCGTGGTCCCCCCAAACATGTCCCCCTGGTGGCTCCACGGGTAATTTTTTTTACCCGTTGTCCCACCGTTCTGAACAGTGTTTGCCAGTGGGTCTACGGGTAATTTATTTTAACCATGGTCCCACCGCACTAAGTGGCAAACATAGCTTGTCACCTAGCCTAGGTATCTATAATATTATAAAAAAATCTATAATTAATATAGAAAATAATTATAGGTAGGTACGGCACCATAATATCTTTATAATATCTTCACATCACACATGTGGGTTAAAGTCACTCAAATCCTACTCGGCGTTTGATATTTCATCCCAGACATAGGTGACATGCAATGTTTGCCACTTAGTGCGGTGGGACCATGGTTAAAATAAATTGGGGACANAGTATTTGCTTTTTACCTAAGCGGCGAAACGAAACGTCTTGCGATGTCAATGACTCGCAGGCTGTCAGTTGAGCTGTCAAATCACTTTGGAATTTTGGTCGATCTTGCGCAACCGCAATTTTATTATTTTCGGGGATGTAATCCCCTGTGTTTTAAATCGTGTGTTGCAGAATGCATCCACGATAATTTCTTAATATAATTTAAAATAATCACACATGAGAAATTCCCTAAATTCTATTCGGATGAGGGTATTGGGTTGCTGAGGGCTGCGAGCGAAGCTCAAATTAGTGAACAGCCTTCATGCGGGATTTCAAATTTTATATTTCATAAATTTCATATTTCACAATATTTTGTAGTTTAAACAATTTCAAATTTTATATTTCATATTTCACAATATCTTATAGTTCAAACATTTCATAATTTCATATTTTACGATTTTACATTTCATATTTTAGATATTTCAATATTTCATATTGATTTCTATAATTATTACTCCTTTCTGAACTGCTGATCTCTTCGCATTTCCTCCTTGTCATCAAACCTCTGTCTCTGCAAGAGTTTGAACGCTTTCCTGTCGAGTTTAATAAGGTCATTCCGGCTTTTACCCGTGGTCCCCCCAAACATGTCCCCCTGGTGGCTCCACGGGTAATTTTTTTTACCCGTTGTCCCACCGTTCTGAACAGTGTTTGCCAGTGGGTCTACGGGTAATTTATTTTAACCATGGTCCCACCGCACTAAGTGGCAAACATAGCTTGTCACCTAGCCTAGGTATCTATAATATTATAAAAAAATCTATAATTAATATAGAAAATAATTATAGGTAGGTACGGCACCATAATATCTTTATAATATCTTCACATCACACATGTGGGTTAAAGTCACTCAAATCCTACTCGGCGTTTGATATTTCATCCCAGACATGGGTGACATGCAATGTTTGCCACTTAGTGCGGTGGGACCATGGTTAAAATAAATTGGGGACATGTTGGGGGGACCACGGGTAAAAGCCGGGTCATTCACGCTTTGGGGTATTACAGTCAACGTCAAATAGTTTGTGACACCCAAAGTGACCTAATGCTTCAATCACACCTAAACTTCAACCACACCAGCGGTTGTTTCTTGGCCTATGATCGCGCCGGTGATGGCGATCTGTACGCGTCGGTGTGGTTGAAACTTAAAAGTTCACTACATAACCTTATTCGAATTGTAACATAGACGTTGCGAACTTTTCGGCTACTTTGGGTGTCACTGACTATTAGACGCTGTCTGCACCTCCTAATCTCCTTGAAGCCCTTACGTTCTTGCAAACATTACTATCGTTATCATCATATTAGGACACACTTTTTAATGTTGATAGTTTTGAATTACCTTTACAGACCTCACGGCTATAGCCATACATATTCCATCAAAGTCGTGGTCTTTAGACGCATACGGTATTTTGTTTACGTACTGGTTGAAATCCCACGGTTTCTCCACCACCTGTGAAATTAAAAACAATGATTGCAAACTTACAACTTTCCCGAGAGACATTTTTATATCAAGACGAAGCTGTCTCAGGTCAGTCGAAGCTGTCTCAGGTCAGTTTTCTGAAATGACTCTATATTTGGTCAAATTAGAACAGCAGGTTTGATCTATTCTTAAGTTTAAACAAATTTTAATCATCGTTTTAGATAGGTTCGAGCAGCACTATGCAGTGATCATCATCATCATTTCAGCCACAGAACGTCCACTGCTGAACATGCCTCCCCCAATGACTTCCACATCATACAGTTAATAGCGGCCTGCATCCAGCGCCTTCCTGCTACTTTTGTCAGGTCGTTGGTCATTATCAGTAAAACTGTAAAAAGCATTAAAGAGTACAAACGACTACTTACTACTACAGCGAGATTGTAAGCTGGAAATCTGTAAAATTTCTGCGAATACACGTGCTTTATCGACCGCCATTGCTGTATGGAGTCGTGCATGGGGTGCTGTTGGTATGTGCTGAGCGTGCCCCCCACCACTTTCAGATACTTTAAGGAAAGCCTGTACCTAGAAAAGAGGCTCTATGGTAATTATTTCCATCATTGGACACAAAATTAGTGCCAGCAGCTGGTAAAGGGTCTTCTTCACTAAATCTCTGTGACTATTATTGTAGCTGCCTTAAGTGAAGTGTTTAAAATCATCTTTGAGATATTAGTTTTACATTATAGGTTAACTTCTGAAATAATTTAGGTCTACAGACTTATTGGAGGTAACTTACTTCTTCCTATTCGTTAAAAAGCAATGCGATGACGTCAGCACCCTTTCCTGCGTGATGATGTTTCCAGAACATATCGCCCTGTACATCATCTTCCATTTGTTTACCAACTTTTTTATAAAAACCTGTAAAAACATCGCGATTAACATACACACACAGATTAAAGGATAATTAAATGACGCCAATCCACTTCTTACATGGTGTTTTAATTCGCCAATTTTGACTTCTTTGCCATAGAATTGCCTTGGCCGAATTGTGACCAAAGGATACTGTAACAAAATGGTGAAATGAAATACATAGTTTGTTTAGTTTAGTACATAGCTTGTTCTACCACCACTTCGGGACACATTATGGGCTGGTGCTGAGAAACTCGTAATTTATAGTTTACATTACACGTAATAAGTGCGAGCTAGTGCGGTGCAGTTGAAGGCTGAGTGAAGCAGACATCCGCGTTCAGATCAGTTTTGGAGCAAAACTTAGAAAACTGCGAGGGATAGCTAGGGAAAATGTAACGGTGTTTCTCCTCAAAATAGATCCGCACGCGGACATCCATGCATAAAGGTAAGGTCCGTGTTAGGAAGCAGTGGGCTCAATAGTCTTGTACCATGCTAATACCAAAGAATGGACGACGGCATATGCTTCACCATCATCTTTTTAAGCCACAGGACGTCCACTGCTGAACGCCTACCCTAAAGGATGATGGGCACAAATGTATGGAAAGTGGTACCCGCTCCAATAGCCATAACCAATATATATTTTAAAAGGCCTTTAGATGTAGGAAAATGTCTGCTATGGGGCCAGTTCTAATTCACGTTTTGAAAGCAGTAATTCCACTAAGTATTATAATGAAAGTATAACACAATCATCCATGTATACGAGTATGTACATTCTATTAATATAACTAAAAGAAGCATTGAAAAGGAAAGGATTATACCTACGATGAACTACCCAAGCTATTAGCCCTTTATTCGCTTTCAGCATCATCATCATGATCATTTTAGCCATAGGACGTCCAGTTGAACATAGGCCTCCCCCAATGATTTCCACAATGGCCGGTTGGTGGCGGCCTGCATCCAGCGCCTTCCCGCTACCATTATGAGGTCGTCGGTCCATCTTGTGGGTGGACTTATTGGGTCTTGTGGGTTTATTCGCTTTAGCAACCCATAATAAAACCCTTAAGAAGTAATAAAACTTTAACCCCTTTATTAATAATAGTTACACTCTAGTTGAACTCTGGCTTAAATTGTCATTTGGTATGGAAATGTCATTTTAATCCAAGGCTCTTCCTAGGTGTAACTTTTTATTAATAAGGGGGTAGTACTTCTTTAAATAAAAATATTTATTTCACAATTATCCCCATCAATAATTATAGAGTTAAGGAAGGATGCTGGAGCAGTAAACCCTTCCTGCCTCGCATAACCTAAGTACCATACGATGGACACGTATGATACTTCTTCTTCTTCTTCCTCGGTCCCTCACTGATGAGGATCGCGACCATAGATAGTGTTCCTCCACAGACTGCGGTCATAAGCTGTGTGGACCGCACGATGCAAACTCCCACCCACCGTCTTCCTCACCGCGTCCGACCATCTCGTCGGTGCCCTGCCTCGAGCGCGTCCCCCTTCATAGGTACTGTATGATACTTAGGTTACACAAAAAGTATCTTTATCTTCGAACGCAACCAGATCTGAGGCTGGTGGCCATAGTAAATGTTGTTCGTCTTGGTAAGACCTTTCAAATGAGACTACAAACATAACTATTGGAGCCGGGTACCATTCTGCAAAAAAGTATGTATATCTTCGTACACAACCAGATCTGAGGCTGGTGGTCATAGTAAAAGTTGTTCATCTTGGTAAGACCTTTCAAACGATACTAGACACATATCTATTGGAGCCGGGTACCATTTTGCCCATTGTCCTTTCCAGATTTGCCGGTTGGTAGCTGCCTCCCTGCCACCTTTGCAAGGTCATCTGTTCACCTTGGAGTGGAGGCAACTCCAGAACTGTGATATAGATTTTTCTTCCTATGCAATAATTACTTTTATAACCAAATGTATTCTTATGTACCTACCTACTGTTATCTGTTTATTACAGGAATTTAAATAAATTAAAAATCGGACCATGAATTACCTGATCATTTGTCACGTTAGAAGCATCTTGTACAATGAGCATACAAAATATGATGATGCTGTGGTAAATTATGTGATGAAACACTTTCGATAAATTCTTTACTGCCTGAAAAAAATATTTTTAGGCATTATATTTTTATTGAAAATTAATTAGGCAAAAATAACATCACAGAAGATGCCATTCCGCATTCTGCAAAGATTTTGACAGTAAAATTTGGTAAAATTGACACCCATCAAAGTCATCGCTGATCGACGATGCATTCTTCTTTTTTATTTTACCTGATGTTTAGCGCCATCTGTTCGTAAGCATCAGAAGCATTTGAAATTGAATCACGGTGAAAGCGTGGTGCTTTTTGTGTTAAAAGTTGGTGTGTCTAATTTTTAATAGAGGATGCTTTACGCACAACAGTTCCTTAAATCAAATTAAAAATGAACAATATTTCTTAGGTAATTTTATTGCAACAAATTAATAAGTATGACAATAACAATCAAAAGATTCACTATTAATAACCACTGGATGTAGAAATATTATTTAGTAATTACATGTAATTGTTTTTTAATTTTACTTACAGCAATAATTTACAAAATAATGCATTACCTATTAATTAAGAAACACTTAATTGAATTATGTAAGCGAATTAAACGCTTCATGAATATTCAGGAAACGTCAATTTTTCCAATTATTTTATATCATATCTTGCCAATTATTTATCATATTTTGCCAATTATTTAATCGCCAATAAATAAATGCATGCACACGGTAATAACCTGTAACAGAATTATTTGATTGGTAATATTATAATTTTTTCTTATGATTTAAAATGTTATTATGTTTTTACAACATTTTATTTTGAATTAACATCTAACAAATCGGAGATCATTAAAATAAGATCATTAAATGGTCTAATTAACACGACTTTTTTTATTTTATTTTACTTACTTATGATTCACTTATGATTATTCATACAAAAATTGGGCTTTCCGAAGCCAAGACTGGACCGTAGTCAAAGCGAGTGTCTAAACGCAAACAAGTAGGTACCTACTTACTGCATTTACGTTTGTATATGCCTATACAATGATTTGTAGAGATTACTTAATTATTATAACACTAATTTCAATAACTTTGATGTCTTACCCGAATTAAAAACTGGTACATTCATAATATAATAGTGGTTTGGATAAGTTAACAGTTAACTCATCAGTAATAATTTTCTTACACATTTAATTTTTATTTACGCAAGCAACGAGTTTATCTTGTTTATTTAATTGTGTCACTGAAGTGTAATAAAGTGTAATAATTCGGCAATTACATTAAGTTTGACCTAAAAAATCAGTAATAAGTAGGTACCTACACTGTAAATTTTCAAAGGTGACTGAATTTCTTTTCATAATCATCAACATTTCTTGCTACCTTTACCAGGTCATCGGTCCACTTTGTGGGTGAACGTCCCACGCTACGTTTTCCGGTACGTGGCATACACTCAGAACCTTGCTGCCCCATCGGCCGTCAGTTCTGCGTACTGTGCCCTGCCTATTGCCACTTCAGCTTGCTAATCTCTCATCTCCTCATTTCTGATCTAGTAAAGGGTCATTCCACCGGCCAAGAAAATGACGTGTCCGGGGCCAAAAAGTACCCGAATATCATAATATTTTAGTAACAAATATTTTTATCTAATAGAATAACTTTGGTTCTTGTTGTTAAACCAAANAAGTATTTAAACTGTCCCGATGTGGTGGTCACACAAATCTTTTTTTAACCCATCAATCCCCAAGCGGTCGTATTTAACCACGTAGCAATTGATATCTATTGTGCATCATTTCGGCACAAAACGAAGCTCGCGGTTTGCATTTCACTTCGAGGATCAACTAAACATGGAAATGAACTTCGCTTTAAAACTTTTCATGGACTAAAAAGATTTTACCTTAAACTTCAGCCAGCAGCTGGCTGCCAGCTCATATTCAAAACATTGCCTTAAAACGTCTTAGGGTTAATACCCATGCCATGTTAATTATAGTTCTAAGTAGATCTCAGACGGCGTGCATTATACAGCAGGCAGGTCGGCAGTCTTACTCGGCCGGAAGTCGCTTCATAAATTATAACTTCCGCTAGTTTCCACTTGGATGGATGCGTCGGACCACACGGGGTGAATTTTCGCATAAGTTTATCAGGTACAAACAAAGCAGAACATTATTTGGAATTATTATGGNTATAGCCATACATATTCCATCAAAGTCGTGGTCTTTAGACGCATACGGTATTTTGTTTACGTACTGGTTGAAATCCCACGGTTTCTCCACCACCTGTGAAATTAAAAACAATGATTGCAAACTTACAACTTTCCCGAGAGACATTTTTATATCAAGACGAAGCTGTCTCAGGTCAGTCGAAGCTGTCTCAGGTCAGTTTTCTGAAATGACTCTATATTTGGTCAAATTAGAACAGCAGGTTTGATCTATTCTTAAGTTTAAACAAATTTTAATCATCGTTTTAGATAGGTTCGAGCAGCACTATGCAGTGATCATCATCATCATTTCAGCCACAGAACGTCCACTGCTGAACATGCCTCCCCCAATGACTTCCACATCGTACAGTTAATAGCGGCCTGCATCCAGCGCCTTCCTGCTACTTTTATCAGGTCGTTGGTCATTATCAGTAAAACTGTAAAAAGCTTTAAAGAGTACAAAACGACTACTTACTACTACAGCGAGATTGTAAGCTGGAAATCTGTAGAATTTCTGCGAATACACGTGCTTTATCGACCGCCATTGCTGTACGGAGTCGTGCATGGGGTGCTGTTGGTATGTGCTGAGCGTGCCTCCTACCACTTTCAGATACCTTAAGGAAAGCCTGTACCTAGAAAGGAGGCTCTATGATAATTATTTTCCATCATTGGATACAAAATTAGTGCCAGCAGCGGGTAAAGGATCTTCTTCACTAAATCTCTGTGACTATTATTGTAGCTGTCTTAAGTGGAGTGTTTAAAATCATCTTTGAGATATTAATTTTACATTATAACAAAAAAAAAAAAAAAAAATTATAGGTTAACTTCTGAAATAATTTAGGTCTACAGACTTATTGGGAGTAACTTACTTCTTCCTATTCGTTAAAAAGCAATGCGATGACGTCAACACCCTTTCCTGCGTGATGATGTTTCCAGAACATATCGCCCTGTACATCATCTTCCATTTGTTTACCAACTTTTTTATAAAAACCTACAAAAACATCGTTGATAACATGTACACAATTACACATACAGATAAAATAAAGATTGATTAAATGACGCCAATCCACTTACATGGTGTTTTAATTCGCCAATTTTGACTTCTTTGCCATAGAATTGCCTTGGCCGAATTGTGACCAAAGGATACTGTAACAAAATCATGCAGTTGAAGGCTACCTGAAGCAGACGTCCGTGTTCAGATCAGTTTTGAGGAAAAAACTGAGAAAACTGCGGGGTTAGTATAGCATTGAGGATAGCCCGCGCAATGTAGCGGCGTTCCAAGGACATCTATGCGCGGAAAGGTAAGGTCCGTGTTAGGAAGCGTTGGGCTCAATAGTCTTGTACCATGCTAATACCAAAGAATGGACGACGGTATCATTCATCATCATCATTTCAGCCACAGGACGTCCACTGCTGAACATAGGCCTACCCTAAATTTCCAGATTTGCAGGTTGGTAGCAGCCTTCCTGCTACTTTTGCAAGGTCATCTGTTCACCATGTCCTACCTCCACTCCAGAACTTTCCTTACCCATGCATCACACTGTGTAATTTTTTTTCCTACACAATAATTAGATGCATTGATGTAGAACAAAATGAATACTCGTATTCTGATGTGCTGTTATCTGTTTTTTACAGGAATTTAAATAAATTAAAAATGGGATAAATGAATTTACCTGATCATTTGTCACGTTAGAAGCATCTTGTACAATGAGCATACAAAATATGATGATGCTGTGGTAAATTATGTGATGAAACACTTTCGACAAATTCTTTACTGCCTGAAAAAAATATTTTTAGGCTTTACATTGAAAATTAATTAGGCAAAAATAACATCACAGAAGATGCCATTCCGCATTCTGCAAAGATTTTGACAGAAAAATTTGGTAAAATTGACAGCCATCAAAGTCATCGCTGATCGACGATGCATTCTTCTTTTTTATTTTACCTGATGTTTAGCGCCATCTGTTCGTAAGCATCAGAAGCATTTGAAATTGAATCACGGTGAAAGCGTGGTGCTTTTTGTGTTAAAAGTTGGTGTGTCTAATTTTTAATAGAGGATGCTTTACGCACAAAAGTTCCTTAAATCAAATTAAAAATGAACAATATTTCTTAGGTAATTTTATTGCAACAAATTAATAAGTATGACAATAACAATCAAAAGATTCACTATTAATAACCACTGGATGTAGAAATATTATTTAGTAATTACATGTAATTGTTTTTTAATTTTACTTACAGCAATAATTTACAAAATAATGCATTACCTAACACACCCGAACACCAAATTCAGTAACTTTGATATGTCTTACCCGAATTAAAACATGACACATTCATGATATAATAGTGGTTTGTATACGTTAACAGTTAACTCATCAGTAATAATTTTCTTACACATTTAATTTTTATTTACGCAACCAACGAGTTTATCTTGTTTATTTAATTGTGTCACTGAAGTGTAATAAAGTGTAATATTCGGCAATTAACATTAAGTTTGACCTGAAAATCAGTAATACCTACACGGTAAATTTTACAAAGGTGACTGAATTTCTTTTCATAATCATCAACATTTCTTGCTACCTTTACCAGGTCATCGGTCCACTTTGTGGGTGAACGTCCCACGCTACGTTTTCCGGTACGTGGCATACACTCAGAACCTTGCTGCCCCATCGGCCGTCAGTTCTGCGTACTGTGCCCTGCCTATTGCCACTTCAGCTTGCTAATCTCTCATCTCCTCATTTCTGATCTAGTAAAGAATTTCTTTTGCCATTTCTTATCAACTCAAGTAATTAAGTATTTAAACTGTCCCGATATGGTGGTCACACAAATCTTTTTTTAACCCATCAATCCCCAAGCGGTCGCATTTGATCACGTAACAATTGATATCCATTGTGCATCAATTCGGCACAAAAAAAAGCTCACGGTTTGCATTTCACTTCGAGGATCACCTAAACGTGGAAATGAACTTCGCCTTAAATCTTTTCATGGACTAAAATGTTTTTACCTTAAACTTCAGCCAGCTCATATTCAAAACATTGCCTTAAAACGTCTTAGGGTTAATACCCATGCCATGTTAATTATAGTTCTAAGTAGATCTCAGACGGCGTGCATTATACAGCAGGCAGGTCGGCAGTCTTACTTGGCCGGAAGTCGCTCCATAAATTATAACTTCCGCTAGTTTCCACTTGGATGGATGCGTCGGACCACACGGGGTGAATTTTCGCATAAGTTTATCAGGTACAAACAAAGCAGAACATTATTTGGAATTATTATGGCCTTTCAAGACAAGTCACCATAGTAACAGCTTTATTTAGTTTTAAATAATGAAAACCATTAATTAGGCTTTGAATTATTTATTTGGTATTATTATGAATTCTGGTTCTGAGAGCCATTTCTAGTACGAGTATTTTCTCTATTTGCCAACTATGTATCAAAAAAGTTTAAACAATAACCTCCATATTACAAAAATTTTGACTCTGGTTGAACTACTTATGGTTTAAGTTGACGTTTAGTATGGAAATGTAACCGCTGGTAGGGCAAAATAAATAATAATAATAATAGTCCTGGGCATAACATCTTTGTTAGGGGGGGGGGGGGAGTGTTTATTTAGAATATGTAGAGTTGGAATATAGAAGATAAATTGTCACAAAAAAAACCAACACGTTTCTTTTAGAAGGATAACAACGAACGAACGAAATTAACAATATCTTAAGCTTAATTCCTTCATTTTCGTTGCTGTAAGAAAATCGAAAATCGCATAGTGTGTAAAGTTTTCCCCGGAATCTCGGCGCAGCGTATTGTCTTGAGATTTGTATTTAATTAGCGCGACCTTAACTCGGCGGCCAAACTATGCCGGAATGAGCCGAGGGGTTAAAACAACCGTGCTGTTTGGATAGTTAGAGATATGTCTTATGTTATGGTATAAAGTTATTTTATAATAATAAGAAAGACAAATATTACTCTCCATAGAATACAAAATATTTGTGGTCAACGTGTTTCAGACTTACGAGACCCCTGTGGTAACAAATAACAGGAATTTCAAAGGGGTCACTTAAAAATTAAGGATTGATGGTGAAAACGGGCATAAATGTCTGACTTTCACCAACAAGATGTCACGAGCCCTTTGAAGCATGGAATCAGTTTATCATGAAATTTCCTAGCCAATTTGAGTACTAGAACTTCCAGGAATTCCAGGAATTCCAGTACTCCCAAGACACTTTCAGAGGCGTTACCGCACTCAAGGACTACGCTCTTACCCAATATTTTGACGCACTAATTCCGTATTAAAATTACGAAACGGAAAAAAATTATATTTTAAGTTTCATAAAGACGCTACGAAGTATATTAATTACTAGCTTTTGCCCGCGGCTTCACCCGCGTGAAATCTAGTTTGTCACAGATCGTCATAAATTATAGCCTATAAAATATGACGTTCTGGGTTATAAACAATAATACTGTACAGTTTCATCAAAATCCGTTCAGTAGTTTTTGCGTGAAAGAGTAACAAACATGTTGACATCCTGACATCCATACAAACTTTCCCATTTATAATATTAGTAGGACTATTTTTACTTTCAGAACTTTTCTCATTTTACAAATAAATACCTAATACATTTGGCAAACGTAGCATGTCACAAGTAACCAAGTGCCAAGACAGGACAACAGTTCGCTAAGCAATCCCAGAACTTACACAATTGAACTTAGCAGGAACTTCTACACAGCCCCACTTAATTAGTACTTGGTGCTGATCCGGTACTAACTAGTTTGGCTAAGTAGCCCTAATTAGAAACGTCTTGTACTGTCTTGTACAGTTGTACTACATACTGAACATGCGGTAGCTACGCAGCTAGCTATAGGCAGACTGAGGGTTAGGTTTCTCTACGTACAGACAACAGTAAAATAATTTTTAAAACAGACTGAAAAAGGGAATGAATGATGATAGATGTTTTAATAATTAAACACTGAACCTACCGAGATCGTTGTCTATTAAAAGAAAGTTGTACTAACTATTATACTCATATTTTTACCGTTATACCTCGACGATATTACGATAAAATACCTAAATGATAATGATTGTTTTTTCTTTCATTATAATATTCGTACACGTGATTTTATACTTACGTAATACATCCTGGTTTTACAAAAAAAAAAACAAACACGCATCGCTATCAAGCAAGACAAAAACTGAAGTGGCACGAGTGAACAGATGTGCCACAATAGTTAGTTAGCACACCCACTCAATAAAAATATGATAACTGAATCATAAAATACACATGCGAGGTATTCGAGAGAAATATTTGTATGGGTTACAGATTTTTAGTGCTGTGAGATTTAATGACGTCACAAAAAAGAAAAAAAAATGGACTTGAGCTGGCTGACAAGAAAAAAAAAACAATAAATTCGATTTGAAAAGGGAATCGTAGTGAGACTATCAAGAGAGAAGTAGATTAAAATTCGCTTTACATTGTTTCACTCTACATTTAATCGTAATTAATTAATGGTCAACATCTCGTACAGTTCCAACTTTTTTGTCCCAAAAGTTCCTGCTATAGTTTTTTATTCAATTAACATAGTCTGATCAATGAGCCATAACTGTAAACTGCCCCAACTGACCATGCCACTCAGCTATCTAATGGCACAACAAAAAGCCATCAAACAGTGGGCCATTGCCCATTACGGGGACTTATTAAAAATGTGGCCGGAATATCAAATTGCTATCTTGCTATTGTGCGCGCCCTAGTGTATGCGCACCCTTGGATTTTTTGAAAAGAGATACAGAGTAATGGGGGAGACAGAGCGTGCTTGTTTTTTAGGTCAGGAGTTGTTTTGTTACACTGTTTTTTTTGATAAATACTTAGTTCTAATTTAATTTATTTATTTATTTATAATCTGCTTGAAGGCTTACAGAAAGTCCAACGCGCCAACAAGTTATACAATACAGATAATTTATTATATCAATTTCAATATGTAAAATGTCAATATGTTAATTCAATATGTTAATGAACATGTCAATAAAATTATTATGATCAAAATACTAATATTAAGCAAAATACAAAATAACCTACACTTTTAAGTTTATATCTATAACCAAAACCATATTCTAATAACATATCACAGATACATAGAGTGGTCACCATTTATTTAAGAGTGCACTACAGTTTTTATACCGTATTTATTTAGTTCATAATAAGTATCTAATTAATGTGAACTACTCGGATCCGTAATATGTAATTTATCCGTAATAAGGTAGTTCTTTTTTCTACACAGTATTTTTTACCTCATTGTCAAGTAACTGTACTTCTAGAACATTTTTAAACCGCTTTACCCTCTCTGCCCAAATCTACTCTGCGCTAAAACGTAGAGTACTAGTAAAACTGTTACCCGAGGGCACTCCAGCCCCACTATTGTTTGTTTTTTTACTCAAATAAATTCAGTTGTCACATCTCGCATGATAAATGTTGTCTCTGACACCGTGGTCATATGGCGAATTTGGATCCACTTGTTATCCTAAGTTTGCCATTTGGGCGCTTGAAATATGGGTGAATGGTGCTCGTGATTTTTGTAGGCTAATAAACTGTTTTGTTTGCAGGTTGATGTTGCGCAAATGTTCGGAATTTGATACCAAAGTTAGGAGCTGTTTTATAAGATACATGCTTAGTCTTATTTTATCGATCGTGTGGGTTGTAGTTGTGTCGTCTTAACCGTTTTCAGTTTTCGTTCAAAAAAGCTACCAAAAGCTTAAGAAACATGGCTCTACTTGACGCGGTGGCTAAAGTTATATTAGATAGACGATACTAATTAAAACTTTTAATTACCTATATTTAAAACAACACTATTG